CTGCGCTATTATCATCCCCATTTTACAGATGAGGAAACTGAGGCATAAAAAGGTTAAATGACTTGTTCAGGGTCACACAGTCAGTAAGTGTCTGAGGCTGGATTGAAACTCAGGTCTTCCTGACTTCGGGTATAGAACTCTAGCTAGTGTGCCACCAGCTGTTTCCAGGTGGCCTCTAAGGTACAACTCTAAATCTTCAATATTATGAGGTTCTGCTGTTTCATGTTTTTCCCAGATATAAATCTATGACTTTCATCCAGAACAATCCTCAGCACTGACAAGCAGACTTTCTCAGGGTATTCCAACTGGCATGGTTTTAAGGGCTACACACTATTTTGGCAACCCAGTGTTTTCTTTATCTAAAATCAGCTTTCCCAGTGGATCTCTAAGGCACTTCTTAGATATCATTATCAACAAAATCCACTCCCTCTTTCCCCTTTTTTCCTTAAAAAAAATTAAAAAAGGAAAACACTTCCGGGTCCCTGCTATACCTCTTTTCTTTGTTTGATCTGACGGGACAAGCTCAGGCTGGAGCTCCAGGTTCTGACTTCAGCCTGTTGTTTAGGAAGCTAGCTCTGACAAATTTAGAATGATGACTTCAGTTCAAGGTCAGCCAGCAGGAACTTGTTGGGTGGGGGTGGGACGTGGTGAGAGAGGGAGAGCGAGCCCAGCAGACGGGCGAGACCAACTTCACAAACAGGAGAGTAAATCTTCTTGAAACCACCAGGGACAGGAAAACAGATTCCCCCCCTTCCCCTTTTGCTCTAGTATTAAAATCCCTTTGAGGGTTTTCCCCATTTCCAGAAACTAAGTTAAAAACAATCATCTCCCAGGTCACACTCTAAATAAATAGAGAGACCAGTCCACCATCTGCTTCCTGGGTTTGGGATTTGTTTATTCAATCCCCAATGGTGGGGTTTGTCCTTGATGCAAGTTGCCTGGGATAAATGAAAGTTAGATTTCTTCAATCAAGAGGTGTTTCAAAATCAAGAGCAGAGAGAAATCTCTTCTATACACACTTTACTGATCTGAACTGTCTCCCCCTTTGCCCACCCAGTAGCTGAAAAATGAGGTTGTCAGGAATAAAGCAGGAGGAGAGGGCAGGGGGCTTAGCTTTTTATAGTTTACTAATAGCTGAGAGCTGAGAAGATCCAGTAAGGGTGGAGGGGATTCCAGAGAAAGGCTTTGAACTCCCCCGATGGTGAGTTTTTCAGAAATTGAGGAATCTGGCCTATTGTCAAGAGAACTGCATTCCAAAGGCATGAGGCATTCCTGGTGAGCACCCAGCATTCCAGAAACCCAGGTTCAAAGAGATAGAGGGAGCTTTGTGAAACCCGAAGGGAAGGCTGGTTACCAACCATCTGAAAAAAAGGTCAGAGCTGAGGTTAGAAAACTATGCCAGCCCCGGACAACTTCAGCCTGTGACCGAGATTCTAGGAAGATAGAGGGGCCTGGGGGTGTATAAAATCCCAGTCTAGGTTACAATAAATCCAATAAAGCCTAGCAAAGGGACCAAAAGCAACGATATGACTTGTCTAGAGAAGTCAGCTCTGCTTAAATGATTTGAAAGTTTTAATTAACTACATACCTAGCTATCATTACTATTATCATCATTGTTATTCCGTGTTTAGACAGTTCACATCTTATCTCTTCTATTAGACTGTGAGCTCCTTGAGGGCAGCGCCTGCTGTTGGGGCTGTTTTTGCCTCTTTGTATCCCCGGCACTTAGCCCAGTGCCCAACTCCTTCATAAGGAGTTCAGATAAAGATGGTTTGGGGACGAATCTACTATTATTCACTGATATTTAACATTCAGGGAACTCTTGCACAGGAGGACCTTTTTTTTTTTTAATCTATTTTTGCAATTGAGCCAAACTCTTGAAATTCAAGCTCACTTTCTGTAGGTTCAAGAAAGCATAGTCCAACAACGCCTTGGTGGGGAAGATAAGTATGCTAATCATGCCCACCTGCTTTTGATTTCCTCTTCAAGGTCATTGTTATTTGAGAGGTGTTTTTATTGATGCATACCTTCTACTTAGAGTGTAAGCTCCTTGAGGGCAATGGCCGTCTTTTGCCTCTTTTTTGTATCCTCAGTGCTTAGCACAGTGCCCAGCATACAGTAGGCACTTAATAAGTGTTTCCTGATTATTAAAGAAAACTTGGGGTTGGTAATTCCCAGACCTTTCTTTTTCACTTCCCTTCAAATCTCTCACAAATCCTCCTTCTACTTGTAAACACAACCAGGCTATCACTTCAGGAGCCTCTCAAGCGATGTCCTTGTAGCCTACCCTATCAGCTCGGATTGATCCTCCACCCAGCTGCCTCACCGATATCCTTAAAGCATAGGGCTGCTGATGTCACTCCCTTGCTCTAGAAGCCACAGGAGATCACTGTTACTTTGACGCTGAAATGCAGACCACCTCAGTTAAGTAACTGAGGTCATTCCCAATCTGGTTCCAGCCAGTCATTCCAGGCCCATTCATGCATCATGCATATCATTCACCTTGTTCTAGCATCCAGGGTCGTGCTGGTAAATGTTTAACCACCAGCCCTTTAAAAATGCAGGACATGCTTTCAAGTGGAATGTGCATAATGAACATTTTCTCCATTACTTCATTAAGTCTAGACCAGGCCTGTACAACCTGCAGCCTGCCAAAGGATTTGGGATGGCCCATGAGAAATGTAGAGGCCTCTTTCCGCTCCCTTTTTCTCAGGCTTCTGAAGATCCTTTGGTGGCCGCAGGGCACAGATTGTGCAGGCCTGGTCTAAACAATCAATCAGACAATAAATCAAGCCGTCCTTTATAGCATTGGTTGATTTCTGAGGTGTCAATGCTCACACTGAAAACTTGAGGCTCTCTCTGTCTGAGCTGGCTCAGACATACCGCTGCCTACCTCCCAGCCAAATTCACTCACTTGCTTACCTAGACTTTTCTAGTACATGCATTTCCATTCCCCTCCTTCCAAGCCTTTGCATAGTGTGTCCCCCTACCTTGGGTGCCCTCCTTCCTTGTCACTACTGGGAGCTTCTAACTCCCTTCAAGACTCAGCTCAAATGCCAGTTGCTATAGAAGGCCTTTCTTCATTCTATTCCCCTGCCCCCCAAGTTGTTGGTGTCCCTGATGAGGATGGGATCTAGACCCCAAAAAGGAAAAACCCTGGACTTTCCCACATGGCCAAATCTCTGGTGTCCTCTGAGGCTATAATCCCATCAACTGGCCTTTCATTGTGGCTATGCCGGATCTCTTACCCTTAACCTAGCCTAGACCTCCCTATGCCCCCCCCTTCTCACCCTTAATCCTATCTAGGCTCCATTCTCCCTTGGCCACCCCTGGAGTTCTATTACCTCATACTTGGCCACTCCTAGATCTCTCCTATAGTCTTTCTGTATTTAAGGTCCATCTCATCTCCATTAATTTGCTCGGATTCTTATAATCTAGCCACTGCTCAGATTTTTACAATCTAGCCAATAGCTCACAGATACTCAGATTCCTTGAAAGTCTAGCTAACATGGCAGATCTTTAATAAACCTTATCTTTGGCTGAAGGAAAGCTTGGGTCGAATCCTTTCGGACAGGACCCATGTGTCATGATTTTGGGGTTCCATTACCCCTAAACCTCTAGACCTCATTATCCCCTCCCACAATTATTTTTATTTACTTATCTGTGAACATTTACCCCATCTCAATAGAATGTAAGCTCCTTGATGACAGATCTCTCATTTTTGCCTTTGTATTTCTAGTGTTTAATATGTGTGTATTAATTAATATTCCCACGTTCCAGAGGCCCCTCAAGTCATACTCAAAGCCCTACATTCTGGCCCCAGTACTTCCTCTGACCATGTGACTTTGGACAAGTCACTGAAACAACCTGGACCAATTCATGTCAGTGAAGTGAGACGCTTGGACTCCAGGACCCCTGAGGGACCTGCCAATCCTAGATTTCTGACTGCCTTGGTGTGGCGTGCACTGGATTCACCATATACTGATCAGTTGGAAGATATGAGGGTGCTGAGCACACCCCTGAATCCAACCTGCCCCTTTAGCCTTTCTCCATTATCCACAAACAAACCAGAACATAGGATCACAGGATCACAGGATGTAGAGCTCAAAAGGACCTCAGATTCACGAGAAAACACTCCACCAAGCAGCATTTCTAACCATTTTGGAAAAGTAAGTCTAGGGTTTTCTGGCCTCCAGGTTTTCTGATCTAAAGACCCACAGCTTAGGCCACAAGGCCCTGGCACAGATCAAGCTAGCAATTAGAACAGTAAGAAAACCAGACAGCAAGCAAGCTCTGAGAGCCAGGAACAGTTGGAAGGTGAAGGCCTGGGGCACTGGGCCTTCTTCCCCTTCGAGGCAAGTCTAGGCTTGTTATCCCAGTAGGGTCTTAGATCTACTGCAGGAAGGGGGAGCGAGGTGAAGACTGTTGCTTCTGGCTAGGAGTCTTTGAAGGCCTTCTCAGCTGCCAGCTCTCTAGATGAGAAATATATTGAAAGAAATCTAGGGAAATCCCAGTAGAATTCTAAGGTGTAGAGCTCATTTCCCAAAAGGCAGGGGACAAATGTGGAGGCATAGTTCCCTGAGGAGTTGTAAGGAACAAGTTTCAGTCTTTGGGCATCTAAACTCAAGACCTTCTCCCCCAAATGGATACAATGGTTGACACGACAGCAGCAACAACCACAATGAAGGTTGCATCTTCATTCTTTGTTTCTTTTTTTTTTCCCCTTTGGCTAGGCAATAGGGTTAAGTGACTTGCCCAGGGTCACACAGCTAGTAAGCGTTATGTGTCTGAGGCAGGATTTGAACTCAGGTTCTCCTGAATCCAGTGCTCTATCCACTGTGCCATCTAGCTGCCCCTGCATCTTCATTCCTTTTTTTTTTTTTTGCTTTTAGGCAATTGGAGTTAAGTGACTTGCCCAGGGTCATGCAGCTACTAAGTGTCAAGTGCTTGGTCTGAGGCCGGATTTGAACTCAGGTCCTCCTGACTTGAGGGCTGGTGCTCTATCCACTGTGCCGCCTAGCTGCCCCTGCATCTTCATTCCTGAAGGAGAAAAAAAGAACCCTCTGTGGTATTTGGCATGTAATAAGCAATGTTTGTTGCCTGCTTGTTATAACCCGTGGCTCTCTGGGGAAGGGAAGAGGGAAGGAGGCGAGAGGAAATCTCTATGTTGGTGAAACTAAAAGATGTCAATAAAAACTTATTTGAAAAAACATCGTGTTTCATTTGGTCATATGCAATCTGGCCACTTGTCTCGATGGGAAGGAAGTGTTCAGGCAGAAGGCCTCCTGTTAGAGAGAATTTGGGGTGGAGGGTGGGGTTCTTGACACTGAATTGATAAATGAGGAGAGTCTCTAATCAGAGACTTTCAAGTCCCTTTGAAAAAAATAAGGCCCAAGCATAGAAAACCGAGTCATCTGCTGCTGGGACCTTGGTCTCAGATGACAATGGAGGAAGGCAACCGGCTGACATCTACCATCTCCCTTAGTTGTTAAATCAGACTATTTAAGGAAAGGGAGATGAAGGGGCCCTCTAAGCTCCTTGATGGAAAATCAATATTGGAGGCCAAAGAACCTTTAGGGTAGAGGCAACAGCTGCCCAAGGGATCTCTCTCCAGGGCTTCGGGGATGACTTCTGCCAGCTCCTGGCAAACAGCCAGGTGTAATTGTTGGCCAATTAACCTGTTTCTGCCAATTCTAGTCTTTACCCTATGACTTAAATCATGGGAGCATAGAACTTAAAGCTGGAAAGGACTTTAAAGGTCATGTATTCCAACCTGTTGCCTTTTACAGATGAGGAAACTGAGGTCCAGAAAAGGTGGGAATCTAGCATTTATGAAATAATAAGCTAATATTTATGTAATATCTTAAGCTTTGTAAAATGCTTTATGTACCTTACCTCAATGGATCCTGAAAACAATCCTCTGAGCTATTGCTATTATGATTTCCATTTTCCAGAAAGGCAATGCGAGGCCCTGAGAGAGTAAGTGGTTTGCCCAAATTTAGACAATGAGTGACAAAGCTGGGGTTCCACCCAGGATCTTTCAGTCTCATGGAGTGAGCTTTTGTCATAGTCCCCCCACTGGGGAATTTTGTGATCTGTAGAGTGATGTGACGTCTTTCCTCAGTGGGCCAGGAGTTGGTCTGTGTGCTGGCCGGCTCCTTGGTCTTTACAGCACACATCTGCCTGCTGTGAGGGAGGAATCCCTGCTGGACATCTTAGAAGATAAAGATTAGATCTGTGGTTTTAATGGCATGGGAACTACCCAGGTGAGAAACCTCATCCATTCAAGCTGGCACCTTCTCTGCAAGTTCTGCTGTGGATTGCCTAGTCACTGAGGAGTAGAGTGACCTGCCCAGGATCACACAGTCAGAGCACTTGAACCCACGTCTTCCCTACGTAGAAGCTGACTCTCTATTCACTACACCACACTGCCTTTCCTTTTTGTTTTACTACCACTAGCAGGAATTTGAGAGCTCTGCCTGAAACAAGAGAATAGTTTCAGTCATGCCCGAATCACACATCTAGGCACTCAAAACGACCTTGACAGATCACACTCCACCGATGATTGGGTCCTGCCCAAAGCATTCCAGGAACGAGGTTTGGTTTTCCCCATTTTAGACAAAGCCCCTGAGGCCCTGAAAGTTTCGGTGACTAGTTCTAGGTTATGTTCGCTACTTGGGGATGCTGGCACTAAGACAAGATCTCTCTCTTGTTTTTTTCTTCCTGATTCTCTTTTCCAGCGAGGCTTATGCTATGTCTTACTGTGGACCCCATCATGTTAGGTAATCTTCACATCTTCATCATAGCATCATCGTCATCATCATCACTGTTTTCATCCTAAGTGATTTTGAATGGAAAGAGGTCTTTTTGAAAACAAAATCAGGAATGGGAAACTGAGGCCTAGAGGGTCCAGGTGACTTGTCCAAAGTCACTTAATTAGCAAAGTCAGGATTTGAACCCAGATCTTTGGACTCTAGACCCCATCCTTTCTTTTCTCCATGTACAAACTCTAGTATTATTGTCCACCCTCCTAATCCGCCTCCTATACTGAAAATGTTTGCCCAGGTAGGTATGAGCATTCCTGGGAGCTGGACTTTGCCCAGACAGGTAATGAAGCAGGTATTCAGCAGTCCTGAGTTTGGGGACACAGCAGAACCTGCAGGATTGTTAACTTGATTTCACTTTTCTTCAGGATTCATCAGCTACTTCTCTCACATAGGCAAGAGGCCGAAAAGAAAAACAAAACAAACAGACAAAATGCCCCACCTAAGCAGATCCAGAAGGGGCCTCAGAAGCTTTCATTTTTACTTATGAAAAATAAGCCCTAGAAAAGTTAAATGACTCACCCAAGGTGAGTGTCAAAATCAGATTTGAACCCAGGCCTCCTGACTTCAACCCTGCACCTTTCCCACTGGACCACATTTCCTTTCTCGGTTTTCTCTCTCTCTCTCTCTCTCTCTCTCTCTCTCTCTCTCTCTCTCTCTCTCTCTCTCTCTCTCTCTCTCTCTCTCTCCCCCTCCCCTTCTCTCTCTCTCTCTCCCTCCCTCTCTCTCTATCACTTGCAGTAAACTTTGACTGAATGATTTCTTTTTGCCTTAGGAGTGAGGTAAGATTATTTAATGGGATTTCCTGGAGCGTTCTGTTTTCTCTCCTCTGATTATTTGGGCACCAAAAATCGACTGCGCAAGTACAGGATTGGGGAGATGCGCCTAGACAACTGATCCACTGAAGAAGAGCTAGGGGCCTTAGTGGACCTCAAGCCCAATATGAGTCCACACTGCCAAGTGACAGCCAGAATAATTGAAATACACACTATCTCCCAACATGTGCCTCAAATTTTCCTATATAGTTACTCAACAGAGTTCTGGCATTTATCCCTAATTTATTCAAAGAACTTGGTAAATGTCTCCATTGTTTGCCATGAAATTAAACCTTGGAAAATAGATAGGGATAGGGACTGAACCTATGAATTCATTAAGTGAGATAAGTTCAGAATGAGGAAACTCCTTCTATAAATGTTAGTTGACATCTTTTCTTCAACTTACATTTGCCTTAGAAATTTATTCGTATGTGATCTTAGAGAGTTTCTTAGAGCCCTATGAAGTGAAGTGACTTCTGTAGGGTGCCGCATCCAGTAGGTGTCCAAGGTAGGTCTTGAACGCAGGGTCTTTCTGGAGCTGAGGTCTGGCTCGCTATCCAGTCTGTCCCAACGTGATATGCTGTACCCATTGCAACTTGTTTTTAAGAAGCAGTTTGGAAATTTTTTCTGCTTTGTTAAAGTAGACAAGAAAATTGGCAGAAGTCCAGAAAGTTGAAAGGGAGTCTCTCTTCTCTAAGCTTACCAAAGGGGGCTGTGGCAGTCTAAACAAAATGATAACAAAAGACATTGAACTATGCAAAGACTCCAACGGTTCTTTGATCTCATCCGCTTGGCTATTCCATCCAATAGTGCAGATTGCAACCCGTCCATGCTTCCCCACCTTGGGTGACTTTTGTCCCTCCTGTCCTACAAATTCAACAGAGAACCTCCTGCCCCCCTTGGAAATGTCCCCTTTCAGAATCTCTCTCTGCCCTACTCTAGCCTACATGGTAAAAGCACCTAGAGGACAGTGCCAGCCAAGAAGCGCTCTTTCTTTAATGCCGCACGTGTGGAGAGCTGCTTCCTGGGATGGGCCTTTCAAGGGCACCATGAGGAGGAAGACACTGGACTCTGGAGAAGACAAAAGCCTACAATGACACGGACCAACACAGGGCGCGTGGGTGTGAAGACGAAAAGGAAAGAGAAACAATGCAGCCGAAGGGCCCCAGGCTGCCTCAGTCACCTCCTCCAGAAGGTTCAAGCACTCCCTCGGAGCCCCAGAACAAAGCGGCAGCTCCTTTCTTTGGCATGCAGGGAGAGCTCTGGTCTCTGGCCACACAGATCCCCCCTCTCCTCTTCCCAGGACCCTTCTTTCCATCCTGCCTGAGGTTAGTCATGGTCAACGCGTCCCATCTCCCTCAGCCAGCCTCTCCATGCTGCGATGCTTTCCTTTCTCACCGAACTCCCTCTGAACTTCAGCTCAAGTGCCATCTCCTGCGAGTGACCTTTCCTGATTCCACCAATCACTGTGTTTCCTCTAAATTAGGCTGTATTTATTTTGATCGGTAAAAAACTTACCCGTGAGCACCCACTGCTGAGCAGTGGGTGTAACTGCAGCCATTTGGAAAAGCCCTAGCATCCACACTAGCTGATCTCCGATGAAGCCGTTGATTGGTGCCCTCTTGTGGCCAAAATGTAGACTGCACTCTACCGCTTAACTGAACTGAGGAATGAAAGGACAACCTGGTTTTCTGTAGGTGGTAGAATGCAGGTACCGTCGGCAAGTGTACGCGTGGCCCACACCGTCAGTCAGAAGCAGAATAATAATCGAGCAGCTCTGCCTGCTTTCAGCTGCCCCCCTGCAGTCTACGATCCAGCAACACTCACCTAGTCATTCTGTTCATGGCACAGAGCCTTCCAGCTCCCACCTGCTGCAGGAAGCCTTTCCTCCGGAGTGCCCCGCCCCCAGTCCCCGCTGCTAGTGCTTTCCCTCACAGACCATTTCTATCAGGAGGACCTTGTATGTACTTGGTTATTTACACATGATCTACCCACATCAGAAGGTGAGCTCCTTGGGGTCAGGGATTGTCTTTGCAAAGAAGTGGTGGTAAGTCTGCACCCACCTTCCCCAGCTATTGGGAAGAATTGTTTATACTTGTTTTTTGGTATGTTTTTGAAGTAAATATCCCTAAAGGAAAAATCTGTCTGTCTGTCTGTCTGTTTGTCTGTCTCTCTCTCTCCCCACATATAAAAAAATATATATGTATATATATACGTATATATACATATATTTGTCTATCTATATTTCTATTTATCTGGTTTTTTTTTTACCTAGAAAGTGCAGAAGATGGATGAGACAACACCCAAGCTTCCATGCAGCATCAAAGGTATGGAATTCTAGGTATATAATATATAACAAAGGCATACAATTCTAGGTCTGTGATTCTCTGATGTCACTTTGGTGAGAATTTTCAAAGTGAGTAGAAACATGACATTGCCAAACGATAATTCGGGCCCTCATACCTGGCATTTCTCTTGCAGAGAGTTAGCAAATTAAGTGCTCTATAATTTAATACACAGTCAGCCTCACTGATTCAAGTCACCTTCCCAGTTCCAAGGGTTCAGATTCAGCCCAGGCATTCAGGATTTGTTTGTGATGAATATAAAACCAAGGATGTCTTTTTGTCCCCTGGAAGTCACTGCATGTTTCATGATGTGTGGCAAAACAGTTCTGAAGAGGTGCAGAAACCCCACCTGGTCCTGGTAGAGCCAGAGGTTTCTAGAGCTAGAAGGAAATGTAGAGGTTGTTTGATTCAACCCCCACATAGAGCAATGCCCAGAAAAGTTAGGTGACTTGGCCAAAGGCACACAGTAAGTTAGTGATAGAATAGGAAGCACCTTCTCCTGTTTTTAGCCTACACTTGGCCCCAAGGCTTCTCATGCCATCTCCTCTAAGGACACCATTCATCTACTCCGAATTTATGTTGTATGTGATATTCTTTACACGTCTCTCCCATTAGGCTGTAAGCATGTAAGTTCCTTGAGGGCAGGGAGGAAGATTGCTTTGTTTTCTGTTTTTGCCTCTTTGGATACCAATGCATGAGCAGATAAGAGTGCCTACCTGAAGTCAGGGAGACTCATCTTCCTGCATTCAAATCGGGCCTCAGGCCTTAGCTCTCTGACCCTGGGCAAGTCACTTCACCCTGTGTGCCTCAGTTTCTTCATCTGTAATAAAGTGAGCTAGAGAAGGAAATGGCCAAACTCTCTAATATCTTTGCCAAGGAAATCCCCATTGAAGCCATGAAAAGTCAGACATGACTGACATGACTGAACATTGTCCCCAGTGCTAAGCATAGTGCCTAGAACACAGTAAGTGCTTAATAAGTGTTGTTTGCTTGCTTTTAGAAGTCAGCAAAATCACAGTCCTCTGTTTCGCTTATTTGACTTCAAAGCTCTTAGACTATCTGTAGGGTTATTCCTCCACACAGCCCACAAATCAGTCCCCCAGGACGATGATGCCCTCACCCAGATGTTCTCCAGGAAAGGCCCCACCTGAGTTCTCTTCAATCCCGACTCACCCACTCTCTAGACCACTTCTTCACCTCCTCACTGGCCATCTCTGCCCTGGTCTCTTGGTCTGTGATCCTTTGGCCAGGCCCACTATTTCAGGAGGAGTCCCAAACAGGCTCATGTCACTGACTCCCCTTCTGGACTTCTTCTTCACCTTCTCACCAGCCCCTTAGCCACTTAGCTCCCTTGTGGGTACCTTACCTGTGAGATGCTTATCATTATGCAGACGGAGTGCCTGGCACAGAAAAAGCACGTAATCAATGCTCTCTCTGTCTTTATCACTCAGTAAGGACTTAGTAAATACCACTCGGTGCCAAGCATTATTCTGGGGTGCTAGTGAAATAGCCCCTGTCCTTAGGGACCTTGCATTCTACTCTGAGATTTGGGCAGGCTCCTTGAGAGATGTTCTAGTTAAAATTTCCTTCTCTGGGTCAACCTCAGCTGGTCCTTAGACCACAGAGTAGCCACTACCAGGCTCATCCTCCAAACCTCCCCTGCTGAGGGGATATTCCAGAGCTTAGGCTTTGCCAGTCATGGCCTCTGAGAACCCAGGGTCACCTTCACATCAAAAGGAAGCAACTGAGGGGATCAATTTTCAAAAAAGACCCAATATATGTGATTGTTATTAAATAAAAACTTTAAAATCAGTGCTAGTTCTGCGATTCTAATCTTTGGTACATGTTTATGAATAACTTTTCTTTGAGTCATATCATTCAGTTAGTAAGCATTTATTAAGTGCTGACTGTTTGCCAGGCATTGGGAAGTCAGAGACAAAAAGGGAAGAGTGTCTGCTTCCAGGGAGCTTACAGGCTAGGAGGGGAATGTGAGGGAAGAGAACCTATGTAGAGAAAATTAGGATAGACACAATAAGCCACTGGAGAAAGGCAGTAGCAATTGGAGCAAGGGGAGGGGCCCAACAGGCTTCCTAAAGGAGGCCACACGTAGGCTGAATTTGGAAGGAAATGATAGGATGTGGCACCCTATAAAAAATAAATTTCCTTCTAAATTTAATCAACCCTCTGTGCAGTAGTAAAGGTATTTAAAGTTAAAGGGATGTTCCTCTCTCCTTCCTACACTTGCTTTGGTCTGGCATGGTTGGCAGGCATCTTAGGCCTGGGCCAGGGGTCATGGAGGGTCATTCCAGCACCAATCACAGTCATAGTGTCAACCTTGCTCTGTAGGACCACCTTAGCCCTGCCAACCTGGAAACTTTTAGTGTTATTATAAATGACTCTATTCTCTGGGTGGCTAGTCCTTATGAAACAGATGCCCTTCATGTTGGTAGCTAACTCCACTACTTCATTTGGGTAAAAGACTATTCCATTGAGAATGTCCCAGAATGAAGAGAGATCTTTGAGGGCCATCTGAGGGCCATCTTCACCAATGAACACTTCACAGTGTGAGCTACAGAGGTTGGTATTGCTCCCAGAGATTGATGCCAAATGGATCTGGTCAAAGGACCATTTATAGAAGCTAGCAAATGGGCTGTGGAAAGTCCTGGCCTCGTCCTGTATGGTGCACCCCATGGTGGAGCTCATCATGTTCTGTTCTGCCTAGGAACCTTCAATGAAGCAACTCTAGTGCTGCTTCCTGGAGAGTTCTGAAAAGGTGAGATTCTTGGTGACTCCATTCTGAGTAATCACATGGTCACTGGTGTGCCCCAATTTAGCCAGTGCCAGGACCTGGGCTTTGTAGATGACTGGCTTGTCTCCAGGTTTGTAACTTATGGCAGATATTATCTGGAAGCTGGTGATGTTAATCACAGGGACATCCTCTTTGGGGATGGCTGCTAGAATCTTCTTCTTGGGATCTGGCTGGAAGTACCCTTGATGATTTGTTCTTCCCATGATTTGGGGAAGGAGTTTCTCGTGCCAGGATTCCTTATCTTCTGCATCTGTGCTTCTTCTGCCTTCGAACATCTTTACAATGACAACCACTAGCTGATGCTTGGCCTGGACTTTCAGAGTTCCTTCACACTGTGTCCATCTACCATGGTTGCATTCTACCTAAAGGATTCAAAATGTTTCTGTAATATTCTACTTGATACTATAAGGGAGCAGGGTCACTGTGGCTCAGCTGGTTGATTCCAAGGATGGCAACCAGGGTACCCATGCAAAAGCTACGGCCTCCCACACAGAGCCTTTGCATGGCTCCCTATCACCCAGCATGCAATGGACATGTAGCTGGCTTTATTCAAGTATTTGCCAGTCTACACGATCCCTTAAATTGCCCCAGTCTCCTGACCCATAGAGGTTTATCTTGGGATTGAGTGGCTATCTAAAATAGAGCTAATCTTCAACTGCAACCACCTTGACCCAGACGGCACAGAGGAAGGGAGTGTACAAAGTGCTCATTGCTGAGGTCCCTGAGGGTGTGAGGAAGCAGAGCCTTGCCATGATCTCTGCTGCCATGGTGGCCGGGATAGAGCTGAAGGCAGCCATTGGTACTGTCCTTCAGTGCCTGCAGCTTTTGCTGGCTGGGCTGGTTGGACTTATGGCCATCCTCCATGGCTAGATGGGCAGCAAAGGCAGCAGCAGTTGTAGCAATAAGAGAAGTGGGAGCAGAGTAGAGTGGCCTGCCGATGGAGGTCAAGGAGCAAGCTGGGGGCTGTGTAAGCCAGAGGTAAGGAAGTCAAGCATTCCAGCCACAGGGGACAGCATGTACCAAGGTTTGGGGACAGGATGTGGAAGGTCATGTACTGAGAACAGCAAATGGGCCAGTTTATCTGGAGCAAAGAGTGAGGTACAGAATCCTCCTGTTGAGGAGCAGTAAGAAGGTCCTTCTTGGAAGTGTCCTAACTTGGACACTAATTGAGACAAGAGGCCAAATCAACCTTTTTGTTAAAGTGATTTTTTTTTTACTCTAATGGTGTTGGTTAGGGATGTCTTTGGGGATTTTAGCTGAAGGCAGTAGGAGTGGGAAGAAGGAGGAGGCCCTTGAAGATGATGAGAGGACAGTTTTTAATGGCTTCTGTTCTCTTCACTTATCCCTAAATCACCCTGACCTTATTTCTTTCCCTATGCTACAGGTCTAAGTCAGCTCCTGGTAGTCTGTGGTCTTCTGACACTTTGATATATAATAATTGGCATTAACATAGAACATTTGCATAAAACATCTCATGATATTTTATTTATGTTATCTTATTTGAGCCCCACAAAAATCCTGATTCATGGTTACGATAAGTTACTACTTCCATTTTAAATGGAGGAAACTGAGGCTAAGAGGTGAAGTGATTGGTTCCAGGTACAAAACAAGTAGGTGTCAGAAGTGGATTTAAAGCCCAGCCATCTCCTGATTCCAAATCTGGCAGTACCCACTGGACAATCAGCGGTAATAGCTGGCAGTGATGTTTTACTTTTTCAGGTTTACAAAGCACCTCTTATGCATTATCTATTGCTCTATGTTGCTTCTGCCCGTCAGTCACCCTAAGAAATGCCTTCCTTCAGCACCTCTCACCTGGACTTCTCCAAGAGCCTCCCAGTGGCTTCCCTGACATGGTTTCTCCCTTCTCCAGTCCATTTTCTTCTCAGCTGCCAGACTGATATTTTGAAGTGCAGTTCTGACCATGTCATTCCACATCTCAAGAAGCTTCTGTGACTCCCCATCACCTCTTGCATACAATGCAAACTCTGGCTTCAAAGCCCTCCATGAAATCCTGGGGCTTCACACTGGCTTCCCCATGATGCCTCTGACCCCCTCTTGGCTCTACTGGTTTTCACAGCACTATTAACTTGGGCTCTTGGAAGACCCTGAAGTTCTCCCCTGGAAGCTTGGCTTTCTGCTTTCTACCTTATTTTCTGATAGCACAAACCCAGCCCAAACTCTCATGGACTGCTTCACTCTCCCTGGTGTGGATTCCTGGCTGGTTCCTGGAAGCTGGCATTTTCCCTTATCCTGCCCTGCCCCCTGGTGGAAATCAGAAGAACGTCACTGTGTCCTCCCTGGGCAGAAAAAGGAAGAGAGAGGCCTGGATCTGGATGGCTTGAAGCATTGGCCTGGTCCCTGGCCAGTCCTAAGCCACAGACATCTACCAGGCACAGAAGGTCCAAAGCTGTGGTTCTTTGGCCAGGGGTCAGTTGGGCCAGTTGTGAGCAGATCTCAGGCCTAGGTGCTGTTCTCAAGGGCTGTGGTCCTGAAGCAGTCTTTCCTCCTTTCCTTGGTACTTGGCATATGCTTTCCATGTATTTTGCATGTCATTTGAGCTACGCTTTTGTTTTCCTCATAGAATAGAGGCAATGATGAAAATGGAAAAACACAATATGCCAGCTCCTACAGGCACAAAGAGAAGGGTAGCCTGCCTTCAGGGAGCTCACACTCCAATGGAGGGAGACAACACATATAGGGGCAGTTAGATGGCTCAGTGGATAGGGTGATGGGCCAGGAGTCAGGAAGACACGAGTTCATATCTGACCTCAGACGCTCATTAGCTGCATGACCCTGGGCAAGTCACTTAACCTATTGCCTTCCTCCACTGGAGAAGGAAATGGCAAACCACTCCAGTGTCTTTTCCAAGGAAACCTCATATGGGGTCATGAAGAGTTGGTCACAATTGAATGATTGAACAGTAACAACAATATCACACATAGGAGGCTCTGGCTCCCTCTCCTTTTGGGATGGAAAGAGGTGACTGGGGGGTACAGTCAGTAGGAAAACAGACTTGGAGTCCAGAAAACCTGTGTTTAAATCCTATCTCAGACACTTAGTAGCTGTGTAACAGTGGACAAGTCACTTACCCTCTCTTGGCCTCAGTTTACTTATACATAAAATCAGGTAGTTGGATTTGATGGCATCTTGGATCTCTTCCAGATCTGAGTTAATACTCTGAAAGGTCCGGTGGTCCTCAGGGTGAATGGGCATGATGGATGGCTGAGTTGGGATATCAGCTCTGCTACTGCGTAATTAACTATGTCACCTCGGGCAAGCGACTTCTCATTTATAGACCTCCAGAGGAGATGGTGTCCAAGGTCTCTCGCAGCCCTTTGTTAAACGGGCTTTATTCTGCATGTGCTCTATGCGTTGAGGACAGTGCTGGGAAGGAGGGAGAAGCAGTTTGTTAGAAAAAAGTTTGACTGATCCTTGCTGGTTTTTATATCATAGTCACTGATGGAAATAGAACCTTTCTTCTTTCCCCTCCCCCCTCAGAATTATGCCAAAGGGGCCATGTTTTTGCCTTTCTTTGTTTCCTCAGCAATGAGCACATAGTAAGTGGTTAATAAGCGAGCATTTTTCAACTGGCTGACTGACCCTATTCATGAGCCCATGCTTAAATTTTCATTTTACCCCAGACTCGAGGGATGGGGTATAAAGGGCCAAAACATGTGAGGAAAGAAGCCTGACCCTTCTTTGAGGTGATTAGGTTCCCCCAGGACTGGATCCAGTCTGTGACTGCCTGGGTCCAGGGTGGAGGGGCCCCATGGTGAAGAGTCCTAGATCCTTGGGCCCAACTTACATTCCCATGTTAAATTATCATTACTAATCCTACTGGAAAGGCCATCTCTTAGAGTAAAGAGAGTGACCGCTTTTATCCTAACATGTATCCTTAACCATGGAAGAAAGCTCTCCCACGGCCTCCTCCATGGTCCTGCTGCCATCCTGCAGTGTTCTGGAGCCAGATTTGGACCGTACCAACTGCTATAAGTGTCCACAGCCCTTAAAAGCCATGGGCTCCTGAGGTCACCTCAGGACACGTTGGCTGTCAAGGAACAGGTGGCACCTGGGGGTTGACAATGTGTTGGAAAGTAGATGATTTCACCAGGTCTGTATCCCAATACTTGTACGCCTCTTCGAGCATCACGTTGTAGAAAAGGTGCCGACTTTAAGCCAGAAGACAATCTTACCTGTTTTTCCAGGCTCTTTCTCCCCCCTCCCCCCAGCCCATCATCCATATGGCCTTCTTTGTCTTAGACTTTCCTCCTCCCCCCCCCCCACCGTGGTTCAGCTCAATTGGAATGCTCCAGGGGCCCAGAGTTCCTGTGTTTTCCTTTGAATGCCAGAGTTCTGGATCAGGAGGACCAGGGAGATGCCTGGTGGCTTGGCCTCGGAGCTGCAGGTTCCCTGCTACGCTCCTGTAGCAGCTCCTCCATTTGGACAAGTAGCCTGGAATTGAAGGATACCCAGGCTGTAGGGGCTTCCCTAGGAACTGGTGGCAGCGAAGGAGAGCCTTTTAATGGGAAGCAGACACACCCTTTGGCATATGCCAGTGATAAATGTCACTGGATAGTGGCCACTTTCCTCCTGTTATCTGAAGTGGTTAGTGTTGCTGCCTCTAGATAATCTCAGGAGTTGTTGATTCTGGTGACTTCACTCTAGGTGATTTCCATCACTTGTCACATTCGTCATTACTTATGCTGAAATAGCCTCAGTCTGGGACTTTGTCCCCCATGCTGGGCAGGCAGGGCCTGCTCAGTGCCGGCATGTGGAGGAGCACCCTGACAGCATTCCTTCCCGTGGATCAGCTGCTTTCTTCTACTCCCCAAATATCTCAGAGGAGGTAAGAGAATCCTAGAAAGGAAAGGGCAGTGATATATCAGCAAGCAATGGGCATTATTCAGGCCTGGGGCCATTCAAGGCATAAATACTGGGAGATTCTTCTTTTTTCATTGCGGTGGGAGGAATTCCACAGCCCAAGAGGGATTCTTGGAGACATTGCAGGAGCCACTAGGAGAATGGGAGGGAGGGCAGAGTACTTTCTAAGGGAGACTCTTCATAAAAAGATGGCGAGATGCTTGCACCACTATCCCTAATGGCTCCCCTTACATTGGGAGGGGGAGGGGCAGTTTCTTCCAAGGGCATGGTATGTGTGAGAGGTCCTAGGTCCCCACGGAGGTTCAGCCCCTTCCCAGACCTGGTCCTTTCCCTGGTCCTACAATTAATCTTATTTAGAATCAGAATTAGAGAGCTAGACGAGGAAGCAAAAAGTCCAGAGCCGTTAGAGCCATTGCCAAAGGTCACACAGGTGGGAAATGCCAGAAGTAGGGTTTGAACCCAGGTACTCTGAGAGGAGTCATGGTTCTGTAGGAAGAGCGTTAAATTTAGGATTAGGGGCTTGGGTTCAAATTTTACATCTCTCACTTCCTGAATGCCCTTTGGCAAAATCACTTAATCTTAATCTCCCTGTGACTCAGTTTCTTAATCTGTAAAATGGCTGGACCAGATGGCCTCTGACATCTGTGATGTCTGACTCTATATCTTTCCACTGCCCCCCAGTGGCTCTCACTGGCCCTTCCTCTTCTGTGACTTGCTGACTTTTCCTCCCTTTCTTAGGTCCTCCTTTTTCTTTTTCACTCCTCTCTTTCCACCCCTTCCTCCCATTCCTCTGCTTTGTGTTGCCACCAGAGGGCTGTATCTCAGCGAGGGATGAACTTAAGCTGCTTCACTGATCAAGGATCCGGGTGTAGTTCCTATTTGTGATTAAACCGTTTTGTGGCTTCTGTGGAAATAATAATATGTACGGTTTAAGTCAGTTATTATGAGCAAGCACAGGCTGGTGGTGGAGGGATGGGGATGCTGCTATGGGGAATTCTGTTCCAGCCAGAGCTGGCCTTGGCACTGTGAGAAAGCAAGTGGTTTCCTGTGATTGTTTTCAGATGATATTGTAATTATTATTTCATTGCTCATTGAAAAGATGAGATAAAGATAATAACTCACATTTCCATAGTCCTTTAATCTTTGAAAAACACTGCACATTTAGTCCGGTTGGATCTTCACAACAGTCCTGAGAGATGTCATCCCTATTTTATTTATGGAGAAACTGAGGCTTGGAGATGTTAAGGGACTTGCCCTGACTCACCCCTACTAAGTGTCTGAGCTAGATTGGAACCTAGGTCTTCCTGACACCAAAGAGCACTTTTACTGTCCCACTCTGTTCCACCTATGGTCATCAGATTGAGAACTTGAGTCACCTCATCCGGGGCTGGCTTCCAGATCTTGTGTGACCCAGAGCTCTTCAGTAGCATTCTGGGGAAGACAATGAGCCCAACCTCCCACCCCACTCCCACCAGGGTTTCTAGGAATCATGTTTTTAAGTGAATAAAATGCCATTGGGTCACAGAGGAAACTGATCATATTGAAATAGGGTTAGCAAAATATTTTTAAAAACAAGTTCCCAGACTGCAGGTTAAGAACCCCTGTATTGGCCTGATCCTTCACATTTTAGGCAAGAGGAAACATCCCTCAAGAAAGGAAGTGACTGGCCTCAGGCTGCGAGACCAGTGAGCAGTGTTGGGAGAGCTTCTTGGACATCCCTTCCTGAACATGGTGCATTCTAGGGGCACCTGGAGGCAAGAGGCTCTCGTGTCACCTCCGGCATTTACTGATTGTGTATCTGAGGACGTTAGCCAGCTACTTGTAAGGGGGCTACGCTGAGCCTCCATGTCCTCATGCATGCAGTATTCACACCGTCAGTGCCTCAAGACTAACACGGCCATCCCTGCCCTCCAGGAGCTTCCATTCTGATGGAGAGATGGCAGGCAGGGGTGGTCAGCAAAAGAGACGTATGGTCTTCGAAGCCACAGAGATGCTCTGCAGTAAGGGAATTTTGTAAGGATCAAGTATGATCCCGTATGTAATGTTTCACCGCCATTAACTGCTATGAACAGGTTCACAATGAGGGTGGGAGAGGTCCTCTGAGGGGAGTTGCAGGTTAAGTCCCTGGAGGCACAGAAGCTGACATGACCCAGGCTCTCAGGCTTCTGGCATCCCCAGCCTGCAGGGCAGAGGCAGCCATGAACCTCATGGTCCCTTCTCTCTGCAGCTCTTCCTTCAGCAGCTCAGAAGAAAAATATGGCATCCTTGAGCAGAGGGGACAGGCTCCTTCAAGAAGGTGAGCTGCCCATCTGGCCTTTCCCCAAAGCAGAGGGAGGCAGTCAGGATCTTGCAGGCCTCTGGCTCCCTGATGGCCCCTGGCTCCCTGGTGACCACCCCTGGCTCCCTCCAGCCCCCAGCTCCCTGGTGGCCCCCTGGCTTCCTGGTGGCCCCCAGCTTCCTGGTGGCCTTCAGGCTCAGTGGCGGCCCCCCGACTGTGCGGTAACCTCTGGCTCCCCGGTGGCCCCTGGCTCCTCTCCAGCCCTTAGTTCCCTGGTGGCCCTTGGCTCCTCTCTGGCCCCCCTGGCTCCCTGGTGGCCCCCAGCTTCCTGGTGGCCTTCAGACTCAGTGGTGGCCCCTGACTCTGTGGTAGCTCCCAGCTCCCTGGTGGTACCCAGCTCATCTGCTCCATCCTGGCCCCAAGAAAGTAATGGGCTTTCTGAGCAGGGCTGGGTGACCTCTTCTAGAGGCCTTTCCCATCTGAAGTTGGGAATCCTCTGACATTGTCATGTGGCAGAATTTGGGGCTATGAGTTTTGTTGAAAGCCTCAACAACAATAATAACACTGATAATAATATCTTATACCTCGAGGGCCCTTTAAAGTGTACAAAGCACTTAGGCCACATTGTCCCATCTGAGCATCAAGTCAACCAGGACTGATTGAACGCCTGTGTCAGATAAGGCAATGCCAGAGTTTATGAAGGTAGGAGTGACGCATTCATGCATAATGCAAGAGCAGAGGTCTGATTGTCTTTGTGTGTGTCTGGAACAGTGTGGGATGCACACACAAAGGCAATTGAAAATCTGTGCTCGCGAGGACCTCACAGTCTAATGCAATCAGCTACGTACAAATAAGATACAGACAGGATAAACTGGGGGTACTCAGAGGGAAAATGGGGGGATCAGGAAAGTCTCCTTGTAGAAGGTGGGCTTTCAGCTGGGATTAAAGCCAGGGAGGCCAGGGGATGGAGATGAAGGGGGAGAGAATTTCAGCTGAGAACCAGTGAAAATGCAAGAAGTCAAGAGATGAAATGACTTTGCTGAGGAAGGGCTGAATAGAGGAGCAAAGTGTAAGATAATGATTAGAGGGTAGACTGTGACAAGGACCCTGGGGGGTGCAGGGGATTGTAGCTAGATAATATCATCCCAAAGGGAATTTCATTGGCTTGCCCAAGGTCAACCAACTAGTCAATATCCCAGCCCACTTCCTTTCAGGTTCCAGATCCACCCCACCCCATTGTGAACTCCTTAATTTTCAGTTTACTTAATTAAAGAATTCTGCCCCTCCCACAAACCCCAAATACCACAATTTCAAGCTTCAGCCAAGAGATAGATTTGGGGCAGTGGACTAAAGAAATAAAACCCAACATCATCAAAACAGAATCTCCTGTCTGTCTTTTGGCCATCGGAAGCCTCCAGGATGTTGCAAAAAGAAATCTCAAGGAACATTTGACAGCGTTATTAGTGAGGACATTGACTGGTTCCATGTGGCAGTCAAAATGGTGCCTATTACTGTCCTGATAACTAGAAAACGAGGACTTTTCTATCTTACCAGAAAGCTCACTAGGAGTGGTAGAAGAAGGGAGAGAGAACCTAAGAATGACAGTAAGCATTTCTCTAGAGCTCCGAGGTCTGTAGAGCACTTTACCTGTGTTAGCTCATTTGATCCGTGGTCCATCTTACTCTGCCATGACCACTCCTCCACCCTACCTCAGCCACACTCCATGGCCAAACCTTGATCTTCCCATCACCCACAAATATACCACTTCTGTGGTCTGAAACAGCCTTATTTGATCTCAATCCATTAGCATTCTGTCTTTCCCCAACCTGTAACCCCAACCCCTGTTCTTCATCTTCACCATGACCTCCAGTCCCTTGACTCTTCGGTTCTTTCCCAGGCCATCTCCCTACTCCCCTTTCTTTCCCCCCTCACTTCTCCATCTTGACTCCTTGAAGACCCAGTCCAATCCCTCACTGTCCTCTTCTCTTGGGTCCCTTACTCTCTTATCCTATTGCTGATCATGCCCTGCCAAGCCTCAGCCTTATATAGCTCCCACCATCCACTGTCTTTACCTCTACCCATGTGCTGCTGAATGAAGCTGGTGAAAATCAGAGAGCTGCCGACTGGAGCCACTAAAACTTCATGCTCCATAATCTCAGCTAATCTTCATCCTGGTCACGCCTGCTTGCTCATGGGCTGGACCTTCTTCTCCTCCCTCTGTACTACTATACTTGATGAGCTCATTGGCTCTCATGACTGAATTATCATCTCTTTGTGGGTGATTATCAGATCTCATTATCCAGCTCTAACCTTTCCACTGACATTGGACATTCTCATGGCTCCAGTGGCCCATTAGACATCTCAAATTAAATGTCCTGTTGACATTTTAAACTCGCCAAGTCCAAAACAGCTCGTTGTCCGTCCCCCAAATGCTCCCTCTTACTCTTGAGGCCACCCCCCTCCTCCCAGTCCCTCAGGCTTGTAACCTAGGTGTCATCCTGGCTGCCTCACTCCTTCTCACCCCCTATATAGAATCCACTGCCAAGCTCAGTGACTTTACCTTCTAATGTCACTCCAATAGCTCCCCTCCCCTCTTTTGCTAGCACCACTGTCCTGGTTCAAGCCCTCATCCCTCCCGCCCCCTGCAGTCGCCCGCTGCTGGCTCTGACTGCCTCAAACTTCTCCCCACTCTTCCAGCTGATCCTCCAGGTCTGTTTGGTAAACTCCAGTGGCGCCCCATCACCTGCAGGGTCCAGTGTACAATCTGGGGTCTGCTCCCCTTTCTAGCTTCTTACACCTTGCCCCATATGATCTTTGATCCACTGTCACAGACCTCCCCGCTGTTTCTCACGGAACACTCCATCTCCAGACTCGGGGTGTTTTCTCAGGCTGTGCCCTCTGCCTGGAATGCTCTCCCTCTTCATCTCTGTCTCCTGGCTTCACCAGCTTCCTTCAAGCCCCACCTAAAATCCCCCACCCACCCAAGCCCTTCTCAATCCTCATACTGAATGTCTTCCCTGGCTTGCTTATCTCCAGCTCATCCTGTCCATGTTGTCTTTGTGCATGTGCATTTGCATGTTGTCTCTCTCATCCAACAGAGAGCTCCTTGAGAACAGGGATGGTTGTTTACCCTCCTTTGCTCCCCCAGTGCCCAGCACAGGCTGGAAACAGAGTAGAAACTTCATAAATGCTTGTGACTGATTGACTGATCCTCTCAGCGGTTCTGGGAGGTAAAAGTTATTATCCTCATTTTACAGACAGGGAGACTGATATACCTTCCCTGCTTCCTTTATGAACCCGTAAGTAACTAATATAATAGAGAGAGCTCTGGCCCAGAAGCCATGAGAGATTTACTCTCATCCATGCCTATGTGACCTTGGACAAGTCACTAATTGTTTTGGGTTCAACTTTTCGTGAATGAAAGGTTAGACTGAAAAACAATCTCTAAGATTCCTTCCAACTTCAAATTCAATGAAACCAATTTACCCTTTGCTGTGATTGGCCAAAGGGCTGGAGGTGGGCTAGTATATTTCTGACTGGTTTTCATTGTGTATTTTTTGGTGATCTCTTGATGATTCCTGATGGCACCTTCTCACCCTCAGCATTCAGCCGACATTTGTTTGTAAAATAATGATATCATAGAGCGAGGAAACGCTTCAAATGCACCTCACAGTTCCCAGAGTTCGTAGATGAGGAATTGTGTGGTTCAGAGAAGTGAAATGATTTCTCCAGGGTCACACAAATAACAAGTGGCAAAGCCAGGCTCTGAGCCTGGGTTAAGTGACATGGCCTCATCACATAGGGGACTGCTGGCCAAACCAAGACCAACACCATGGGTTCCTGGATCCTACTTCCCATTTTGCCGTGATATACACTAACTAGACAGAATTCCCAGCCATCTAGGGAGAGAGGCAGTGACCGGATGTGTGACCACATATATGCAAGGACCACATCTGTTCCTAAATTTTGGGGTAAAGTTCTGGGCAGCATATTTTAGAGAAGACATTGACAAATTGGAGTCCATCCCACAGGAGGAAGTCCAGATGGAAAATGGCCCTAAGATCATGCCGTGTTTGAATCAGTTGGAACTCTAATCTGGGGAATGTTTCACAGAGAGAAGATAAGAATAGGGCAGGCAGGGGACAGTAACTTTCAACTACCTGAACAGCTCTTACATGAAAGAGACACTAGATGTGTTCAGCTTGGTCAGTGAAGGCAGAATTCAGAGCAGTGGCTGCAAGTTGAGTTTAATGTCAAGTTCTATATTCAATCCAATACCAACAGAGGGTTGGTTGGCCAGCCCTAAGAAGGGGAAACAGTGATGGTGCCAACATGGATTCGCCAAGAGTAGGTCAGGGGAGACTTGTTTCCTTTCTTTTTTGTGATGCTTTCTGGGATGAGAATGCAAAAATTCCTTAGAGTAAACCTGCACTTTATCTTTTCATTTGTTCACAGAAAATGAAACTGAGGCTCAGAAAGGTTCAATGTTTTATGTTTTTCAAGGTGACTAGCCAAGATGGGAACTTAAGTCCTCTCACTTCAGGCACACTGATTTTTCCCTTCCAACACACTGCCTTCTTGTTCTTGGTAACCAAGTCCCTCTCCTGGTTGGCTTCCCAGATCAAAAAAGGATAGTGGCCCTGGAAAAAGCCGAAGCTCTTACAGGCACATGTCCGGACATATGTCCTGAGAAGGAACGCTACCCAAGGGAGATCCAGAGCCAGCTCAGCCCTTCTGAGATGCTCCCAGGAACTGACAAGGTACCATTGCTTCCATGGGGGGAGATGACTCTGCTCTTTTATCTTGTGGGTTTCTTTCAGCTGCTACAAGTACTAATGGTGTTTATCTGATGGAGGAGATGACTGAGGATGATGATGATGGGAGGTAGTCTAAGGTCTACAAAGCTTATGGGCAAAGTGAATATAACTGGCAATTCTTGTGCTTGTGAATATGGGAGTAAATTTCAACCAAATGATAAATTCCTCTCTGAAACTCTTGTATGTGTGTGACAATTTTTGCTTCCCTGAAGACTTATTCTTTACTTAATCACTCATAGGACATATTGGTCACGTTAAAGTTCTGCTCCCTGATGTGTTTCCCTGATGCCTCATTATTGCCTGGGCATGACTTTGGGTTCTAAAAGGCTAGGCCATATGTATGTATGTGCACGTATAAGCATGTAGACACATTTGTAAATGCAGACACATGTGCATCTCAACATATTCACCACACACACATACACACTCTCCCTGGAGGATAGAGGGGAGGGCATAAACAGGAAGATCACTGTGGGGGAGACTACAGACCTGTCCAAACAATGACATAGTCTCCCTGGGCAGGGGGATGGACATTTTGGAGGACTTTTTTCCATTGGAGTTGCATTAGAATATAAGCTCTTTGAGGTCAGCGATGGCTTTTTCATGTCTTCCTGGACCATAGGAAGTACTTTATTGATCAGTTCTGGGGGTATTTTTAAGACTCCATTGGGAGCTGTTGAGCTCCCAGCTCTCAAATGGAACGATTCTGTGACTACCCCATAGCCTCGACTGGCCAGTCATGATCCCCCACACCCCCACCCTGGGACCTGAGCTCACACCTGGTGTTCTTTTCCTCAGGTAGACCACCCAGCAGCAATTAAGGAATGCAGCAGGTCCTCTGCTGGCCTGGAGGAACTTCTGCCCCATGACCTCAGGCCCTTGGCTGTACTGAATATGACCATGGGTTATCTTGTCACCCATATCCTGGACCAAGAAGAGAGGAATTACCAGGACTGGTACAGCTTTGTGTGGAGCAGGACCCGTGGGATAAGGAAGGTATGCTCTGCCTCTGGTAGTGGGAATGACCTGGGAGCAAAGGGTGATCCCACACCCCCCTGTGCTTTCTTCTATGCTGGCCCTCAGCCTTGCATGATAATCTGGAGAGGGAACAGGGCATGGCTACCAGGAAGAAGAAGCCGAGATACTTCTGAAGCCTGGGGGACAGAACTGGGGGTGCTGGGCTTGAGTATTTGAGGAGCTATCTTATAGAGGAAAGATTAGCCTTGTTCTTCTCAGTCCTAGAGGGCAAAACCAGCAACAACGTTTAGGTTTGATGTTGAGGAAAAACCAAAGCAAAACCAACTTTCCAATGATGAGAGGTGTCCCTGAGTGGGCTGGAGATCCCCCAAAGCAAAGGTTGGCTGGTTACCTCCCGGTGAGCGTAGAAAAAGATTGTTTTGGGGGAATGGATTAGCCTAGATAGTAACTGTGGACCTTTCCTCCTCTGAGATTTCATGAAAGGAATCAAACCGCTTCCTCAAGGAATTCACTGTAAGGAGTTTGTTTATGAGGAATGAGAAGCAGCTTTTTTTAAAAAAAAAATTCCTAAATGCTTTTCTGTCTCTCTAGGACATTCTCCAGCAACACCTCCATGACCCGCAGACAGTGTCCCTGATGGAGAAATGTGCTCGTTTCCACATTCACTGTGCCCACCACCTGTGCGAGGAGCCCATCTCCTCCTTTGATGCTCCCACCAACAAGGCCCAAATCACCAAATGCCTTTTTGCTCTGAAGGAGATGTACTTGGATCTGGCCAGCGAGGGCAAGTCAAGCAGGAGGGAAGCCGAGTTCCAAGCGTCTGCCATCTTGCTTGCCCTCGACCAAGGGGACGTGCTCAGGTGACGCCGCAGTGTCATGAAGTACTCACCCAACTCCAAGCAGAGATGCTCAGTGGGCAGCCCAGTGCTTTAGTCCATCTTCCAATGGGTCCCCCCTTGTGGGAGTCGTGCCAGTTCTCTCTTGCCATTGGCTTTCTAAGAATTCTGGGGGACAAGTCGGAATGCCAGTTGGGGTTGAGGTGCCATTCCTTATACTTGCTCCACAGGTAATGATTATTCCCATTTCAGTTGAGCTTTAAGGCAAGAGAAAGCATTTGCCTCCTAATCAGCCCTCGAGGCAGGGAGTACATTTCACAGACGATGAAACCGAGGCTCAGAGGGACAGTGTCAGAGCTGGAGAGGGCTACTTCCATTCTGCCTCATACCAGGAGGGAAGCAAATCGTCTTGTCCACACTTTTGTTTCAGTTTGGATTTTCAGGCTAGGTCTGTGATGTCATGGCTGGAGGAACTCTCAGCATGGAATGGCCCTTCCGTTAGGGCAGATTCGTAACTTTGGGGCAACTCAGCTTGTTGCCTGAGGCAAGGACCAATTGGGTGACTAGGCCAGGGCTGCAAGAACAGGCTGCATCAGGGGCAGGTCTTGGTGATCCTGAGGCCAGCCTCCTGTCAGCTATGGGAGGTTGCCTTCACTCTGACTGTAGCACTGCAAAATTACTTTGTATGCTCAATTACCTTTAGAGAGGCAGCCCCCTCACTTTGTAGAGGAAGACATTGAAGTCCCCAGAAGGGGGAGATGACTTGGCCAAGGCATCACATATGGTGTAAGTGGCAGCACTGGGCCCATATTCAGGCAGGCAGTTTAATCCAGCCTCTGTTTTCTCATCAGCAAAATGGGGCTAACAAGATTTAGGCTACCTCCCTCATGAGATGATAAATATTTAGGTTTAATTATCCTTGTTGTTACTACCAAGGCCAGGAAGTCCCAGAGATGTACACTGTGCATTCATCCCAAGTTCTTACATCCATATAGATATAGATATAGATACAGACATAGATATAGATGTAGATATAGATAGATAGATAGATAGATAGATAGATAGATAGATAGATAGATAGATAGATAGATAGATGGATAGATAGATAGATATAGATATATATTTAATGTGAAAGATAATTTTTAACTTAACAGAAGAGTTAGAGAATAAACCCAGGGAAGGCTCCAAGTGACCCAATTCTAATTAGATATTATGGTTGTCATCTAAGGAGATTGTATAATATAGCGAATAGAGTGATAGGTGCAAAGTCAGGAGGACCCAAGTTCAAATCCCATGGAAGACACTTAGCAGCTTTGTGAACAGGGTAACATTCTTAACATTCTTTACTCCTCTCAGCCTCAGTTTCTTCACATGTAAAATGGAGATTATGATGTTACGTGGCAAGATTGGTGTGAGGAAAACACTGTTTGAACCTTAAAGCAGTTTGGAAATGTTAGTAATTAAGCATTCTAAAGCCAATTTAAGAAAATTTAAAGGCCATGGAGTATAGTTGCCAGGGGGCTGGACTTTTAATCAGGGAGAAAGGAATTCAAGTTCCCAGGGAACTCAGCCTATCACTGGTCATTCTTGGTCATAGACAGCTATCGTTCTGCATTGGTGGAGAAATATTCCACACCAGGAGTTCTCTACATCCCCAAAGTCACAGTTCTTTTTTTTTTTTTTACCAAGAATAATAACAACAAAATAACGGTCCTCAAAATAACTGATTCCCTTTCCTATTAATGATGATTTCTTAAGTTGCTTGGTGTAGCAAAAAGATCAGTGACTCTGCCATCACTGGATGAGAATTTGACTCCCAACTTTACCATTCACTATCTGGGTAACTTGGATAAGACAGCCTCCCCCATGCCTCAGTTTCCTCATCTGTAAAATGAGGGGAGTGGATTAAATGATCTCTAAGGTCCTGTCTAGCTCTAGAACTAGGGATCAATGGTTCTAAAAAAGCCAACCATTGTATAGCTAGACTATGGGCTAAGAGGGACCCTCAGCTTTTGTTTTACAGGGGAAGAAACTGAGGCCCACACCCAGCAAGGGCAAGTGATGTATCTAGGGTGATACAGCCAGTAAGTGGAAGAGACAGGAGGCAAACGCAGGTCGTCTCGACCCCAAGTCCAGCACTGTCATCAGAGGGCCACGCCACTGCTCAGCCGAGGTAGCCAATCGAGGGCAGCGAGTAACCACTGTCTCCTTCATGTTGGCAGACAAGTGCGGCAGCTCCAGCCCCAAGTCCGCAATGCCCCAGAGGTCAAGTTCGCCCTTCAAGCCTTCACAGCCTTAGACAGCAACAACTATGTGAGATTCTTCAAGCTGGTCCGAGAAGCTTCCTACCTGAATGCCTGTTTGTTACACGGCTACTTCAGCCAGGTAAGGGCCAAAGCAAGGGAGGCAACCTGCTCTCAGTCTCCTCGTATGTAGGAATTCATTTCTATCTTTTTTTCCCCCTTGCACCCAGCACAACTAAGCCCACAAAAGTGCTTAATACATACTTGACGATTGGACAAGTAGTCAGGACTCAACGTGGCCAAGTAGATAGGAGGCAGAGCTGAGCCTCAGTTTCCTCATCTGTAGGATAGGGGCTGTTTCATTTTTGTCTAACTCCCAGGCACCTAGCACAATATCTGGTATATGCTAGGTGTTTAATAAATGCTTCTACATCATTTGATTAGGAGAAACCCAACATGGCATCATAGATAGAAGATAAATCTTGGAGTCAGGAAGACCAGGCTTCAAATCATGTCTTGGACTGTGTGTCCCTGGGCAAATCACTTAAACTCAGGGTTCTAGGCAACTCTCTAAGACTGTGGTTTGGAGATGTATTGTCCATCTGCACCAGTGGAGAGAATTTCCACAGTGAGGATTTCCCACATGGATGAAACCATAGAATCTCTTTCTTTCCCTCTTCCACTGTTCCACCAATAAGAGCCAAAACATGCCTGAGAAACTGTAATACTGAATGCCAGGAGAGGCTGTGGCTCTCCAGGGATGGGAAAGTCATGGACAAAGAATCAGCATCTGAGGGAGACAACGAATTGTGAAAAAACTAAAAAACCAGAAGGTCCAGTCAAGGCAGGTACTATCGTAATTTCCATTTTGCAGATGAAAAAACTGAGGTGGTGAGAAGTTAGGTGACTTGCCCATGGCTACCCAGGTAGGAAGTGCCAGAGCCAGGACTGGAACTCGGGACTCGGATGTCCTGTTTCCACGTCTGCTGCTCTGCCTATTAAAGTACAAGGGGGCAATGAGGAATCATAAGAAAGAGCCTCCCTTTCAGTCAGAGTTGGGGAAGAGGCATCGAGGGAGGCTACACATAGGGGGCGACCCCTTAGCTGAGCCTTGAAGGCAGAGAGACCTCAACAGGTGGAGACGGAATGTGTCTGTTCTAGTCAAAGGGCTTTCTATGGGAAAGGACCCGGAGAAGGAAAGATGAGCATGGAGGATGGAGAGGATGAAAAGTGCCAGAATGCAGAGAATGTGATGGAGAATTCTATGAGAAAAGACTAGTAAGGGAGGTCAAAGTCAGATCATGGAGGGCTTTGAAAGCCTGGTCCAAACTGTATTTATTTGGGAGGTGATGAGGAGTCACTCAAGAATTTTGAGAAGAGTGTGACTGAGCGATTGAGAGGGCGGGCATGGTGAGGTGGGCACACTCCATCTGGCTGGAGCTGCAGGAAGGCCAGTTAGGAAGTCTGGGCAAGGGGAGATGAGGACCTAAATGAGGATGCTCCCAGTGTGGGAGAGGAGAGGATGGGTGGTTAGAGGCATCCTGGAGATGCTCCCAATGGCATCAAGTGTCGACCGGATCACCATGAGCCTACTGCATGCAAAGCACTAGAGACAGAAGCAAAGCAGTCCCTGCCCTCAGCGAGTTTATGTTCTATCAAGTGCATTGTATTAGCGCATGTTCTACTCAACTTTCATCATGAAACTCCCCAAGAACTATCCCATTCTAGGGGATTCTCCAAGAAGAAAAGGAGAGTATTCGATGGGGTCTAGTGAAGTGATTCTCAATCTCTAATCCACAGACTCCCATGGCACCACTGCTCATCTCCTGGCCTTCTCCTACACACCATTGCCCCTCCCCCCTTAATGGATTTGTTATAGTGCGGACTCCTCCCCTTGATGGGTATGTTATAATGAGGATTCCTCCCCTTAATATATATGTTATAATGGGGACTCCTTTTTGGTGGAGACTGAACCAGATCACCATCTAGTTAGCTGCCAATTCTCAATTTCTCTGATTTGGGTGGCACTGGATATATTGGCTTGTGACCCTGGGCAAGTCCTTTAACCTCTGAACTGGTAGGGTGAGTTTCCTTATCAGGAATTCCTTGGCACAGAGGTGAATCATAGACTGAGAGCTGGGAAGTGGCTTTGAGGTTATCAATTCCAAGCTCTCTTTTATACTTCAGGAAACTGAGGCTTCCAGAAGGGAAGGGACTTGCCTAGGGTCCTATAGCCAGTTAGTGTCAGAGGCAGATTTGAACTCAGGTCCCCTTTACCACACTGCCTCTGATGGACATTTGTAATCCGGAGACAGCGTGACAAAGTAAACAGAATCCTGGGCTGAGTTAGAAGAGCTGAGTTTGAACTCCAGCTTGAGACTCCCTAGCTGTGTGGCCCTGAGCAAGTCCACTAATGTCTCTGTGCTTCAGCCACTAACGTCTCTGGCCTCATAGTATTTTGCCCGGAAAGAGGGAGTTCTCCAAATTCCAGATCCTTCAGCCATCTGTGTACAGATAACTCAACATAGAAGAGATGTCCTGGGAAGCACAGGACACGTATCAGACAAGAACTCTCCATCCCCTTTCCATGGAAGTGTGTTCACAGAGCTTGGACTTTTCTCCCTCTCACTTCAGGCTCGAGGTAACGCCCTGAGGGCCATGACGGCCACCCATACTGTGAGCTCCCAGAAGACCACAGGCTTTCCCATGGACCGTGTGGTGGGATGGCTGCTTTTCAATGACTCCAGGGAGGCTGTTAGCTTCATGCACCATAATGGCCTGCACGTCTCGGAGGGGTAGGTGTGACCTTGTCAGTGCAAGAGGCCTTTCCAGCCTCCTTCCATGTCAGGGAGCTGGTGGAAGGGCTCCCCCAGCCTTGCCCAATTCAGCCCAAGGGCACAAGCTGGCAATGATTTGGTTAATAAAGAGAAGTATGAGAGACAATGGAGGAGCTTGGAGCAGCCAATCTTGGAGGAGCTGACAATCTTGGTGGGGCCAAGTCTGCTTTTCTGTTATTATTTTCATTAATATTAATATTTATGAGTTTGTCAATCATTTATTAAATACCTACTATTCGCCAAGCACTGTGGTAAGTGATGAAGATCCAAACAGAAAACCTGAAAGGCAACTGCCCTCCAGGAGATTGTACTCTCTTAGGAAAGTGACATAGACACAGAAAAGCTATTTCTTTTTTGCTTTTTTTGGTGAGGAAGTCAGGGTTAAGTGACTTGTCCAGGGTCACACAACTAGTGTCAAGTGTCTGAGATCAAATTTGAACTCAGGTCCTCCTGACTTCAAGGCTGGAGCTCTATCCACTATGCCACCTACCTGCCCTCCCAAAAAGCAAATTTTAAAAAATACAAAGTAGAATCAAGGTCAGTTGACCCTCGGCCAGTCTGGCCAAATTCTGAGGTGCTCCTCCCTCTTCTACATTGACCTCACAGAGTGGGGTCTTTGACTGGAAGAACATTGTCAGATTTCTCAGGGATTGGGATCTGCTTTGGGAGAGGTAGCCCCCACCCCTACACATTGATATCTTTGAAGTAATAAAAAGAAATCACCAATGCTAGTAAGGCTCTAAGGTTTGCAGAAGAACCCCGTGAATAAGGCAATGAAACCTCATTTTATAAGTAATACAAGCAAAGTGAAGTAAGGAGAGGCAGTGTGCCATAGTGGGCAGAGAGCTGCCCTCAGTAAGGAAGATATAGATTCAAATCCTGCCTCTGACACATGATTGGGTGACTGGGTAAGTCAAGGTCTTTGTGCTCCAAGCAACTCCCCCCCATCTCTCTCTTCTCTCTCTCTCCTCTCTCTCTCTCTCTCTCTCTCTCTCTCTCTCTCTCTCTCTCTCTCTCTCTCTCTCTCTCTCTCTCTGTCTCCTCTCTCTCTCTGTCTCCTCTCTCTCTCTGTCTCTCTCCTCTCTCTCCTCTCTCTCTGTCCTCTCTCTGTCCTCTATTTCTCCTCTCTGTCTCTCTCTCTCTCTCTCTCTTTCTGTCTCTATCTATCTATCTGTCTATCTGTCTATCTGTGTGTCAAATAAGTGTGTGTGTGTGTGTGTGTGTGTGTTACCCTCAATGATCTCTAGGTCCCTTCCAGCTCCAAAGACATAATTTTATGATCTATGAAATCCCAGGTGCAATAAAACAAACAAACCAGTAGTGATAATGACATGATAAACAGGAAGATCGTACATGTAGAGATGGTGGGAACCTTTAAGGTCATCTAGCCCAATGCCATCATTTTACAGAGTTCCAATGGAAGGAAATGATTTCCCTAGCATCATACAGCTAATAAGCATCAGAACTAGGCTTGGAGACTAGGTCTTTTAACTCCAAATCCAGTATTTTCAATTTAATTCATTTCACCTGCATTTGTTGAGCACCTAATAAGAGGCATGGTAGCTTAGTTGATAGAGAGCTGAAATGGGGGAAAGGAGACTTCTTACCCAGGTTGCTATCTGCACCATCATGACTGTGGGGCTCAAACTCTGCATGTTCCAAACCGCCTTTTGGGGACTGTAGGCTGCTGGGGAGGCACCAGCCTGGCAAAGGGCATTCCCTCCTTTGGGAGTGCCTTCTGTCAGTGAAATCCTAGGCCCAGTCCCTAATCCCCAGGAGCTAACATCTATGCCTTCTTTAAGATTCTCACATATTATCTCATTGAGTTTCCTTTTGAGGCAGAAGTGCAGATCTCATTGTGGTTCACAGAGGGAGGCAGCCTGGGATATCAGAAGGAAGAGGGAACTAGGTATCATGAGATCTGAGTTAAAGTCGCATCTTGGCCACTTTCTATCTGTGTGACTTTAGACAAAAATCACTAAACCTCTCTGGGCCTTAACTTCTTTAACGTTAACCTTAATCTTTCACTTCCTTTCCTGTACGGTGAAGGAGTTGGGCTAGGTGACCTTTATAGTCTCTTACAGATCTAGACATAGGGCTCTATGACTTGTGTAGGATGACATGGTCACCATTCGCCATTTCCTTCTTCAGCTCATTTTACATATGAGGAAACTGACGCAAACAAGGTTAAGTGACTTTCCCACAGTCACACAGCTAGTAAGTATCTGAGGCCAGACTTGAACTCCAGAAGATAAGTCATCTTGACTCTACCTGGCCCCCTATCCACTGTGGTGCCACCTAGCTGCTTGGTGCCTAACTACTAGTCAAAACCGGATAAATATAAATTAACGCATTTAATCCTTACCTGTGGGTTCTTTAGGCATTACCATGGGTAGTTAAAGAAACTGAGGCTCCTCAAGGATGTGGGACTCTGCCATGGTCACACAGTTGTCACAGTCAGAGCTAGAGACTCTTCTTGGACCTTGGGACAAGCTCAACATGACAGGCTTCCAAGGGGACCCTGCTTTCCCATCTGAGGCTGAGCTTAATTCTCACCCCTTTGGCAGGTGCCTAGGACAGCATCCCCCAGAGTGATGCCTTCTCTTGTTGGCTCGTTTTCATGCCCCACTTCAGCCACCATATCTCATGCACACATGTGGAATTCTGTTGGGGAATTCCATTGGGCACTGTGGGAATATTCCAGGGCTTGTTTAGATTATAAAGGTGTCACTTAGCAAACTGCTCTTTAGGGCACAAGAGTCCTTGGTTGGCCTGGGAGCATCCCAGAAAGTGTCAGCCGGATCCACTATAAAGTCTAGGGATAGGACGTTGGGGGACTGTCATCTCCCACTCTTGGAAGCCCTAGGACCTTTTGAGGCTTGGTTCGTGTTGTTTGATTCTCCAGTTATTAATGTCCTCCATCTCATCCCTAGTTTCTATTTCATATTCTGTATTTCCTTATGGGTGCTCCTCAGGGCTAGGAATGCCTTCCTAGTTGTTGTATCTCTAACATCTTCTGCAGCACCTGACACTTTTTTCAGGTTCAGACACAGGACTTCATTGGCGTTGGGAATCCCTACTATGGGATTCACCCAGGACAGACAAGTGCCTCCTCTGTTTCCTCTAGTCTTAGTTGTATGGCTCAGTGAGAAGCTCTCCTAATACAGCTGGTGTCCCAGGCAGAACTCACACCTCTGATCTCCTGACTCCAAGGCCAGATTCTATTGACTGGGCCACACTGCCTCTCCTTAAGTTGAATTGAAACACACTGGATTTAAAAGTCAGAAAACCTGCATGCACATCTCAGACCTGACACTTATTAGCAAAGTGACCTTAGACAAGTCATTTTCAGGTAGTTAAACATTTGTTAATATACTATGTACTAGTTACTAGGATGAGCTCTGGTGATACAAAAGAGGGAAAAGTTAGTCCCTGCCCTCAAGGAGCTTACAATCTAATGGAGGAGACCAGAAGTAAAGAAATATGGGCGAACTATACACAGGACAAACAGGAAATAATTAACAGAGGGAAGGCACTAAAATCTGATACAGGCTTCCTGGAAAAGATGAGATTTTAGTTCATATTTAAAGGAAGCCGGGGAGGTCAGTCATCCAGAGCAGAGGAGGGAGAAGGAGGCTGAGAGGACAGCCAGAGAAAAGGGGCGGAGCTGAGAGATGGAGGGTCTGATTCATGGAGCAGCCAGAAGGCCAAAGTCACTGGATATGTGTTGGGGATGAGGTGTAAAAAGACTGAAAAGGTGGGAGGGGGTGGGTTACGAAGGATTTTGAAGGCCAAACAGAACATGTTGTATTTGATCCTGGAGGCCACTGGAGTTTGTTGAGCAGGGGTGTGACATGGTTGGACCTGAATTTTAGAAAAACCGGGTTAGTGGCTGAGTAGAGGACGGACTGGAGTGTGGAGAGACTCAAGGCCACAGACCCTACAGCAAGCATTGCCGTAGTCCAGGCATTGTGTGATCAGGGTCTGTACCAGAGTTGGGGCAATGTCAGAGGAGAGAAGGGGAAGATGGTGAGAGGTGAAATTGATCAGAGACACTGCAGAGGTGAAACTGACAAGAGATGGTGGAGAGGTGAAATTCATGAGATGCTTGGAGAGGTACAATTAGTCAAAGATGCTGTAGAGGTGAAAGCAGCAAGAGATGCTGTAGAAGTGAAACTGACAAGAGATGCTGGAGAGGTGAAATTGATCAGAGATGCTACAGAGGTGAAATTGACAGACCATGGCACCATATTGGATATGGGCAGTGAGAGTGAGGTCTAGGATGACTCCTAGATTGGGAATCATGATCACTTCAGTCTGGGTACTCCTTCCTTCAGTACAAGTTACAATCCCTTTTCATCCTGAGTGACTTTTATCCAAAGCTTTATGTAAATAATCAGAGGGCCCAACTCCTGCCTTGGAAGGCATCCTCTGTCTCTGGAACAGCAATATCCCACTCAGGCATTGAATCTGTTATTATTCATTGTTATCGTGTGAACAACTGACATTTCTAGTTATGCACACCCTCCGTGTCTCATGAGGTCACATATAACACTTGACAGACTCACAAAAGTGAGAACTTAGAGAGCATTGTCTCACCCCCTCATTTATAGAGCCCCAGAGATATAAAATTGCATGGAGAGATTCAGACATGGGACTTGAACCCAGCTCTCCTGACTCTTTTAAGCCCATTTAGTTTGGCTTCCCTTATTTGACAGAACAGAAATTTAGGCCTGGGGTGATGAAATGGCTTAGGATCATAGATCTAGGAGAAAAGAACTCAGAAATATCTACTTCACTTAACAAAGGAGGAAACTGAGGTCCAGGGAAGTTGCAACAGGCCTGAGGTCACACAGGTAGTCTCTATCAGGAATGTGCTACAAGCTACTTAAACCCACCAAGTGTTCTTTCACTGGCCTTTGGGTTCCCCATGACTGTGATTCTCCTGTAGTCATCATGTTTCATGAGTCACATAAGCATACCCAGGGGATATTGCACTAAAGCAGGAGGGAGGGTCTTTGCAGCACTGAGCAGTTTGGGCTAATTACAAACACTGTGGAATTTCTTAACAGGATCCAGCTGATTCCTTTCTCTTCATTTTGAACCCAGCTTACAGTCAATCTGTGGTGATGTCATTGGTCTTCTTTGAAAACAAAAGACAAATAATGTACCCTAGCGGATTAATTAAATAAGCTGTCCCTCTTTCCTCTACCCCAAAGCCAAAGGTCATAGTTTAGACAATGGGTTTTTTTTTTTAAATCCACTTAGTTTTTATACTTCGGATATTTTGACTGGTGGACTCTGTGATTTGGGTGAAACCAAATTTTTGAAACATAACAATGGTAAAGGAAATGTTAGGAATTCAAAAAACATTAATTTCATTCAACAAGTATTTATTAAGAATCTTATGTTGTTCAGTCATTTATCAGTCATGTCTGACTCCACATTTGGGGTTTTCTTAACAAAGATACTGGAGCGGTTTGCTATTTCCTTCTCCAGCTCACTTTATTTATATGGAAACTGAGACCAACAAGTTTAAGTGATTTGTCCAGGGTCATACAGCTAGGAAGTGTCTGAGGCCAGATTTGAACTCAGGAAAAAGAATCTTTCTGACTCTAAGCCCAGGGCTCTGTCCATTGCACTATCCAGCTGCATTTTCAAAGACCCTACGATGTGCTAAGAAGTGGACTAAGAGCTGGAGAGAGGTGAGGAAGGTCCAAGACAAAATAAACTTCAACAATACACATCATCTGCCCTCAGGGAACTGACATTTTACTTGATGGAATTGTATTGTATTGAATTCACGTGATCTTAAGCTTAACTTAAGGTGCCATCCTGACCCTGAATGCCAATTACAACCACTTTCCTTACATCTGTCTTTAGCTATGTTGAACTGAACCGGCAAGCACTCATGGAACCAAAACAACCCTTCAGGCCCAAGAGATCTATTTTCATCTTGGAGAAACTGACCACATCAGTAGGAGAGGTGGTGAATGGGGAGATGCTACCTGCTGCACCTCAGCACATCCCTGAGAACAGCTTCAGCCCTGGAGGGGAGTACATTGGAGACCGAGCTGAGATGGTCATTGCTAGTTGCTGGAAAAGCACCCACGTGGACATGGCAGATAATGGCATGAATCAACATCTTGGGAAGCTCACTCTTGGTAATGGCCTCAACACTTTCTCAGCTTTTAGTCACCACATTCTTTTTTTTTGTTTGTTTTGCATAATTTTTGTTTTTTGTTCATATCCATTTTTGTTATCACATCACTCAGAGCTGAGCAAGAATCCTCCTACCAAACAAATGGTCACCTAGATGAAGCTCTCCAGCAAAGGGGAGAGACTACATCATGAGTGGTGGACATGGTGGACTACCTCTTCCATTTTGGGCCAGCAGTCTTTGTTAGGCAGGTTATCCTAATAGGGATAAAATCTGCCTCCCTGAAACTTCCCCTCCCTGCTCTTGGCTCTGTCGTCCAAAGCCAAGTGGAACAAATCTAGGTTATGTTTGGGATGACCCTCCCAAAATGGATTGGACCATTTCTGCAGCCTTTTCTCATGCTCATAGTAATGAAGTAGAAAAACATTCATATTTATTGAATCGAATGAGCAACTGTCAATGATACTGCAGTGAGGAGTATCTTGCAGGAATGGGTCAATCTAGATGACGCGTCCAGTGAGATGAGCACTGACTCTGGAGTCTGAGGACCTGGGTTCAAATTCTGACTTTAACATTCCCTGAGTGACTTTGACCCAGTCACTTCATCTTCTTAGGCCTGTTTTCCCCTCTGTAAAATGAGGAGAGTGGCTTGAATGGCCCCTCCCAGTTCGATAAGTAGGAGCCTCTCAACTCCAAGATTCAGGGAGACGTTTCCCGTTCTTGCCCAGCCTGGCCTGTGACTTTTTCCCACCCTTGCCAGAAGGGTAAACCCATTTGGCAACAATTTTTCTTCTATTTTTAGTTTCACCATCCAGGCAAAGAACAGAAAAGAGGTTCCTCGATCCCCAGGAGTCTGTATCAGCAGCCTCCTTTTCCTTCCTTCCTTTCATGGACCTGGAGCTTCCCATCATAAAGCGGCAGCATGTTTTCCCAAGGCTGGTAAGGAAACTTTTGCACTAAGATGGATGATTAAAAATGGGCAAAGGTTTTTTTTTTCTATTCTTGCTGCTTGCTGAAGGAGCATTGGCAGAGCCAATGAAGGCCAGAGCCTTGATGGAATTGTATTGTATGGAATTCACTTGATCTTAAGCTTAGCTTAGGGACACACCTGGCTCACACCAAGATCAGGGGGCCATTTTAGAAGTGGCATTTCACATAATTGCAGTTCTTCACTGGCCATATTTATACATGACTCATTGTGGTCCCATCCTCAGCAGCATGGGCCAGCTACATGACAGTTCTGTTGGCTTAGGGAGGCTTCAACAACCCATGATACTCAAGCCCTGTCTGGCACCTCGGCTGGGCACTGGTGATACTCTGCTCCTCATCACCTGCTACATCTTCCTTTTGGTTTTCCTCCTTTTTCTCTCTTCTGCTTCTCTATCTCTCTGTGTCTGCATCTGTGTCTCTCTCTGTGTGTATTTATTTCTCTTTCTCTCTCTCTCTTTTTTTTTTTTTGCTTTTTGGTGAGGCAATCGGGGCTAAATGACTTGCCCAGGGTCACATGGCTAGCTAAGTGTCAAGTGTCTGAGGCCAGATTTGAACTCAGGTCCTCCTGACTCCAAGGCTGGAGCTGTGTCCACTGTACCACCTAGCTGCCCTGTCTTTACCTCTTGATCTTCTTTTTCTTCTTTCCCCCTTTCCTTCATATTCCCTTGGCCTATCAGGGCCTCTCATTGACTTTTGGTCCTCCTGCTGGTGCCCAGTGACAAAGAGATTGCAGACCTCTGAACTAGACCATCATACAATAAAAATTTAAAAGGGAGAGGTTTGTAATGGCTATGGCCTATTGGCAATCTCTCTCCACATATGGTTTGGTGAAGATGGGGGCACATATACACTTATAGGCATGCATGCATTCTTACATGTATGTGTGTGTGTTTGTAAATTTGTAAAATGTGTTTGTAAAATGCAAGTACTTTGTTCTTGGGGGGAAGGCACTGCAGATGCATAAGCAAAATGAAACAGAAACTGGCCATGGAGCACTTATAGTCTAGCTAGGGGAGATAATATATAAATATCTGGGTATATACAAAGAGAGGTACAAAATGATGGTTGGGGTGGGGAGAATACTTACAGCCTTGGGGTGGGGATCTGGAAAGGTCTCTCATAAAAGGGTTTCTGAAAGTTGTAGATGAGGAGGGAGGGCATTACAAGCATTGGGAGCACCAGTGCAAAAGCACAGAGGAGGGAGATACATAAAGAATAGGGAGATGGCCAGTTCTGCTAGACCATATAGCTTAGCTAGCTTCAATGTTGGTTTAGAGGCATGGTCAGTATGAGGACCAGAATCTCCTCTACACTATTCCTTGACAAGTATCCAACCTTTGCTTAAAGACCTTCAGTGAGGGGGAATTTGTTCGACAGGTATAACAATAAAACCTGACACATTTATCTGCACAATTCACAGTTTTCAAATCTGTCACATTCCACTCCCCAATCCATTCCACATGGCCATTAAGTGTAAAGATAATTTTCAAAATAAAATATGGCTTACCTCAGAGCTGGCATCAACCTCCTGAAATGAGTCTAAAAAGACTAAATTGGGTTCTTTATGACTTGGCCCTTTCTCCCTCTTGACTTCTCATCCAGCTTCTCCAAGGATCAGCAGGCTCACTTCTCATTTTCCAGCATCTGGATAGACAAATGGCTCCTGCTTATTTCAAAGCCTCTGATACTCTATTTTTCAATCAGAGGGAATAGAAGCAAATGATCCTTCCTTGGCCTAAACCCTCCACTAATAAAGTTTCCAGATTTCTGTGCCTCATTAATGGCATCCTCCTATGATTCCTGAGCTTACCTTTTAAGCACTTCACAGAAAAGCTTCAAGGTGATGGAATTTTTTAGCTTCTCTTTCTCTCTCTCTCCCTCCCTCCCCCACCTCTTCCTCATAAAGACAAAACTTAAGAAACAAGACCTTTGGTTTGAGATGATTTTCACTTCCAAATATAACCTCCTCTCTCCCTCTCCTTCCTCTGAGGGATGTCCTCTGGAACAAAGAATTAAAAAGGGAGAGGACGGAAGGAAAGTCTTTAAGCAAGATAGCTCACCCATATACCAAACCAACGGCCCACACCCACAGTTCACCATCTCCGTAAAGAAGGAAGGGAGGTCCATTTGCCCTCTTGTATTCAGGGCATCTCTCCATTTCAAAATAGCCCCATTTTGAAAGACTTAGGCTGTCATTAGAAGGGAACGCTGTTCCTCAGCATTGCGGAGAGAGTTCCTTCAGCTCCACTTTCTCGATTCCTCTTCTCAGCTGGACACTTGTAATTTGGGGAGGTGTCCATGTCAGATCTGGAACCAGACAGCGCCTGAGCCCCTCTGCTTTTATTGTCCTTGTGGCCTTGGATGAGATGTTTCCTTTACAGATTCATAGATTCAGAGTTGAAAAGGAACCTGGTCCAACTTTTTTTTTTTAAACGATGCCGCCTCACTTTACAAAGGAGGAAATAGAAAGAGGTTAAGCCTTAATGAGCAGAACTGGGATTTGAGCCCAGGTCCTCTGACTCTAAATCCATTGTTCTTTCCATGGCACTGGGCTGCCTCTCTGGGTCTCAACTTCACCCTTTGTAAAATGAGGCACTTAGCTCTGGTGGCCTCTAGGTTTACTTCCATCTCCCAATGTATTACCTTGGGAGCTACGTGATGGAAGATGGAGGTAGAGGTTGTCCTCTGCTTAATGCATATGAAGAGACAACTTACACATGAACAGACAAAAATGGAAGGTGCACTCCATAGGAGACGGAGGTTTCTATGGCTCCCCTGCCCTTCTCTTGTTTTCTCTGACCTCCCTTTTCTTATCACATCCCATTCTGAAGCCATATATGGTACCATGGTGTTCTATGAGGAGGACCTCACATTCTCTGCATGGGAGAAAGAATACTTTTCTATCCCTCCCCTCAATTTCCAACTCAATTCACACTTATGTATTCCCATGGCCAGTTTGTCATTATATCAGTGTGGTGGGTGAAAGATGAAATGACTGAAGAAACAAAGGTTTGATGTTCCAAGCTGGATAAAATCATTGAATGCCAACGTATGCTAAATTTAAAGGGAAGTCAATTTTCTAACAGCATTTCTGATACAATGATTTCCCAAAGCATTTCATGATATAAGAAAATTAGAAACATGATAACATACACAATATCATGTATTTAAAACATGAAACAAAATTTATTACCAGTCAGATGACATTACTTCAGCTGAATGCATTTCCAAATTATCTTATAAGAAATCATTAATTTTATTACATTTGGCATTTTATACTAATCACATCGAAAACCTGGTATATAATTACTTTCAATTAAAGAAATAATAATAATAATAATATCAATAATTTTAGTAATTTTATTTCACGTCCCACTCTCCATGACTCCATCTGGGGTTTTCTTGGCAAGGGTACTACAGCGGTTTGCCATTTTCTTCTCCAGTTCATTTTACAGATGAGGAACTGAGGCAAACAGAGTTTAGTGACTTGCCTAGGGCCACACAGCGAGTAAGTGTCTGAGGACAGATTTGAACTGAGGAAGATGAGTCTTCTTGATTCCAGGTCTGGTCCTCTATCAGTGTGTCACCTAACTGTCCAATAATAACACTAGTCACCATTTTTCTAGTGCTTACCATATGCCAGTTGATGTGGTAAGCACTGTATAATCACTATATCATTTGATCCTCATGACAGCCCTGGAAGTGTATACAATTATTATTTTCCTCTTTACAGGTCAGGAAACTGAGGTAAACAGAGATAAGATAACTTGCTTAACATCTCATGGCTAAAAAAAAAAAACCTGAGATTGGAATGTAACCCAAGTTTCTCTGCATTTTTCCAGACTTTTTTTTTTGTTTAACACCTTTATTTGAGAATGTGATCTGAGATGAGAGGAGTTTAATGGGGTCAGAGGGGGAGGGCAAAATTAGGCTTAACCTGATCTCTCTATCCTCATTTCAAATCAGAGTTGGAAAAATAAATATGACTACTTGGTAAGTCATCCCTTCAGTGCCTTGATAACCCAAAGTAGAAGGAGCCCCATTTTTTTTTTTTAGCAAGGAAGGCTTCAGAACTCAGGAAGATCTCCTCAGTTAAGTTTTTTTCAGTGGTTTAAAATTTATTAGTTTTGCTAATTGAGTTTCATGCACTATTTAAAAAAATTATTTATTTAATTCAATATTTTTCTATCACATAAAAATAATATTTAACACTCATTTTAAAAAAAATTGCATTCTAAACTCCCTCCCTCCCTAATGTTCCTTTTCCCTCTCTGAGAAAGTAAGTAATTTGATATCAACTACAGATGTAGAGTCATGCAAAACTTATTTCTGTATTAGCTATATTGTGAAAGAAAACACAAACAAGATAAAACAAAAATAAACCTTTTTTTTAAAAAGTGCGCTTCACTCTGCATTCAGAATTCATCAGTTCTTTCTGGAGATAGCATCCTTCATCATAGGTCCTTTGGAATTGTCTTGGATTATTATCTTGATCAGAGTAGCTATCTTTCCCAGTTGATCATCCTTACAATATTGTTGTTATTATATAAAATATTTTCTTGGTTCTGCTCACTTTACTTTGTACCAGTTTACATAGATCTTCTCAGGTTTTTCTAAATCCCTTCTGCTTTTATATAAAATATTTTCTTGGTTCTGCTCACTTTACTTTGTACCAGTTTACATAGATCTTCTCAGGTTTTTCTAAATCCCTTCTGCTTGACATTTCTTATAGAACAATAGCGTTCCATCACAATCATGTACTACAGTTTGTTCAGGCATTCCCCAATTGATGGGCATTCCCTTGATTTCCAATTCCTTGCCACCACAAAATATAGCTCATTGAAATGCAAATTAAAACAACTCTGAGGTACCATCTCATACCTATAAGATTGGCTGATATGACAGAAAAGGAAAATGATAAATATTGGAGGGGATGTGGGATAATTGGGATACCAATGCACTGTTGGAGTTGCGAACTGATTCAATCATCCTGGAGAGCAATTTGGAACTATGCCCAAAGGGCTATAAAATTATGCATACTCATTGATACAGTCCCCTAACTAGGTCTGTATCACAAAGAGATTTAAAAAGGTGAGAAGGAAAGGACGTATTTGTACAAAAAATATTTATAGAAGCTCTTTTTGTAGTGGCAAAAAATTACAAATTGAGGGGATATCCATTAATTGAGTAATGGTTGATCAAGTTATGGTATATGATTGTAATGAAATACTACTGCTCTATAAGAAATGATGAGCAGGCTGACTTCAGAAAAACCTGGAAAGACTTACACAAACTAATGCAAAGTGAAATGAGCAGAACCAGGAGAACACCGTACACAGTAACAGCATGATGATCAACTGAGAATGACCTAGCTCTTCTCAGCAGTACAATAATCCAAGACAATTCCAAAGGATTTATGATGAAAAAATGTTCTCCACATCCGGAGAAAGAACTATGGAGTCTGAATGCAGGTCAGAGCATACTTTGTTCCAAGTATGGGGGACAGCCACTGCAAAAACACAGAGATAGAAGATATATGAGGAAAAGACTAAAGGCCAGTTGGGTTAGACCATAGTGTATGAGAAGAGTAGTGTTTAATGAAGATCATAATATAGGATGGGGCCAGGTTATAAAGGGATTGTAAAGCCAATCAGAGGAGTTTATATTTGATCTCAATCTCACTCCAAGTTCAATGCTTTTTTTCTTTGTCATAATGTTTTGTGCATTTCTTTGTGCATAAATGATAACTACACAATGAAATAAGTCTCTACTTCATAATTGTTTATTCCTAAGACCATGGTATGGGATTGAATTGAAATGAAGCCTTTTTCATGATGAGTGTGTTTACTTAAACTAATGTTAAGCTCTTATTCTCACTCATTTCTCTCAAATGTTGGTCACAGGATCAAAATGAAAAGATAAAGGAAAACATTCTACAAAATGAAGAAGAATGGAAAATAGAAAACAGAAGCCCAAAGGAACTTGGTTGGAAAGGGGAAGATGAAAGTAGGAAGGAAGAGGATGATGAAGGATGGCTTGAAATGCAAGAATGGGAAGGAGAATATAGTGAGAGATGGGAAGGACAAAATGGAGAAGTAAGAAAAGATAAAGGAAAGGAAGACAGAGATGAATGTGATAAACAAGGTGCAAGAACGAGATATGGGAGTGGTCATGTCCAAGAAAATAGGAAACGAGAACAGGGAAAAGAAAAAGAAGGAAGAACTCAGAAAAGAGAACACAAATATGATAAAATATGGGAAGGACCAGATAAGGTGCCAGAAGGCAGAACATGCCTGAAAAGACATACTAGGGAGATGAAGGGAAGAAGAAAGAGAGGACGAGGCTGTGAGGAAGAATTGGAAGTAGTGGACAAGAGAAAAATTATAGCACAAAATCAGGGAAGGAAAACTGGAAGACATCAAGAAAGAAAAGAAAACCCCCAAGAACATTGGCAACTAAATCAAGAACAGGAAAAAGAAAACAGTTGTGAGAGACGATCTCAAAGAGAGCAAGGAAAATTGCAAGAAGGAGGATCTGGAGACAATATTTGGGAAAGAAAAAAGACAGTTAAAGAGGAGGTAGAAAAATGGTGGTAGAATTACAGAGAATTGGAAAAAGGAAAAAGAAAGCAAAAGGACATAGAAGAGGAGAAAGAAAAACTAGAAAGACAAGGCCAGAAAAGAAAAAGTGGCAGGGATAGAGAGCACAAATATTATAAAGAAAGTTATGGAGAAAAGGAAGCCAATCGGGAAAGAGGGCATGAAGGCAGAAAAACCAGGAAAGAAGGGAATGAAAGAGGACATAATCACATAAAAGAAGGCCAGAACACTCAATATATGACAAAGAAACATGGAGAAGTGAAGAAAAATGAAAACTGGGAAAGAGAATATAGAGAAAGACAAGAAAGAAAAGATAAGAGAGGAGGGGGGCAATGTGGAGTAGAAAAAGGTGGAGAAAAGAGAGAAAGAAAAGCCTGGAAACTAAACTTTAAAGAAAGGAAGGAAGGAAGACACTTAACAGGAGAAGACAGAGAAGATGATGCAGAGCAGTATTGGAATAGAAAAGATGGAGGAGGAAAAGGGGAAAATGAATGTGAAAAGAAAGAAATAATAAATATGGAAAGAGAAAACTATAAGCACCTGAACATTTGCGGGAGAGAAAAGCGAAGATGTTTGAATGAAGGAAGGGTGAAATCAGAGAGACAAAGTCTCTCCAGAGAAGGTCAGGAGCAATATGATCAGAGAGGACAAGATGATGTTCAACGATCAAAAGATGCAGCTTTAGGAAGGGAATACTCAAATAGACTGGATGGAGACAAGCAGAAATTAGAAAGGAAAAACAGGAAAGCAAGGTGTGAAAGGAGCCATGAACCAGGGAAAAAAGAAACAAAAAGACAGAAAAGAAGAGTGTGGGGAAGGACCTCTGGAAAAGAATGGGGAACTGAAGATGGAGAACTGGTGGATGATAGCTTCGAACTAAAATACAATGACAAATGGAGTAGTGATCTCAGTGGAAAATTATGGGAAGGAGAATATCAGAAAGACCCGGACAGCAAAATAAGAAGAAAATGGGGTGAGTCACCCAGAGAAAGAGACTATAATGAACAGGAAAGAAAAAATGGACAAGAATTAAATGAAAAATCATACAGAGATGAATATCTGGATGGAGAAAAGGTCAAAAAGAAATCTCTAGGCAGAGAAGGAAAAGTAATAGCAGATGAATGGGAAAGAAAATATGGAAGAGAAAATGAACACATCAGAAGTAACAGTGGAAAAATAGAGGAACGAGAATGGACAGGAAAAGAAAAAGGAGAAAAAGAAGATGGGTGAGCAAATAAAGAACCCCTGGAACTGAAAAGAATCCCATTAAAATATCTAGATATCTGGAAGAAAGAAAATCAAGAAGGGCTGGAAGACAGAGGCAGAGGAAGATGGAAAGGACAGAGAGTGAAGAGAAAAGTCAGAAGAGAGCACCATGAGGAAGAGAAATGTGATGGAGTCAAGACATCCATCAGGGGAAAAGAATGTGGGGAAATTCTCCAGGAGGTAAACATGGGAATGTCTCAGAGAACAGAGTGCAGGGGGAATGCTGTAGTGGATCAGGGGGGAAATAAGCAAAAGCAAAAACAAGAGAAAGACAAAGGAAGGTATAGAGAAGAAGGGAAAAGAAAATATGGAAAGATGTGGGGAACTGGAGATCAAGAAGGATTAGACAAAGAAGTGTGGGGAGTAAGACGTAACAAAGACCAGAGAAGGGATCATGCACATGAACCAAGTGAGGAAGACTGGGAGAAGGAACATGGAACACAAAGAAATAGAGATGAAGAGTTGAGTGGCAAAGGATGGGGAAGAGAATCCAGAGAAGGTCCAAGAGAAGAGGAAAGTCAAGCTCAAGACGGACAAACCACTTTGGAGCTAAAAGAAAGAGATCAGAAAGTCTCAGAGAGACAATGGAAAGCAACCATGGAAGACATATGTGGAAATGTCCAAGAGCTGGATGGTCAGGAACAGGACTTAAGAGATCAAGGGAAAGGAAAGAGAGGACAGAATAGTCAAAAATGGGAAGCAGAGTATGGAGACGTTAAAGGACAAATTGAACACAAGCACTCTGAAGGAAGACAGGAAGAACAACCCAAGGGAGAGGAACAAGAAATAGAATGTGGAAGATGCAAGACAAGAGAAAATGTCAAAAATCAGAAAGAAGACATTGGAAAAAGTCCGGAAGAAGAAGGTGGAGGAGCCCTGAATGTGGATAATGGAATGAGTGACACAAAAGATGCAGCAGAATCTGATTGGGAAAGACCATGGGAAAAAGGGAGTGAAAGGACGAATGCAAAAGAAGACCCAAAGGGGAAACATTGGGCAAAATTACACAGAGGAGAATTAGAAGGAGAAGACTGGGTAAAAGAGGATGAAGAAAGCCTAAAACACCTAGGGGGAGACAGAGGAAAGATGAAAGGAAAAGAAAGTGGTTTAGAATGGGAAGTCACCATAGAGAAACATGGGGAAAGTTCATTGAATATAAAATATAGAAAAGAAGAAGAAATAGGAAATGAGAGAGGGAAAGAAAGAAAAGAAGAAATGCATAGAGAATTAGAAGAAGATTGTCAAAAAATTGACAACGGGGAGAAATTGGAATTCAGTGCTGGTCAAGAAGAAATATTCTGGGGAACTGAAGTCCAGGGGCAACTGGAAAGACAGGAAAGTCAGGAAAGCTCTGAGGAAGAGCAGAAATATCGGGCAAGAGAAGACGGAACTGCCCAAAGACTAGAACAAGACAACAGAGAAAGGGTGTCAGCACAGGACTGGGAAGGAGACTGCTGACAAGAAGGCTCTGGAGGTGGATTCTGGCCAGCAGACATCGGTGAGAGACAAAGAAGAAAAACAGAAGAGGATGGAGCGGTGCAGAAAGCTGAAGAGAATGCATTAACTGGGGAAGCCCAGAAAGGAGAAGGTGGGCAGGAAAGATTCATCATCCATCCTCAGGAGCTGTTGATCAGAAGCACAGGAGACCAGCAAGAGGATGACAGCTGGAGGGAAGGGGAGCTTGCTGCCCAGGGAAGGGAGAACAAGGAGGAAGACCCTTCAGCCTCACATTTATGGTAAAAACAGACACAGAATCCCCAGTGACAGTAGCTGCTAGTGATACGAATTAAAGTTGTTTAACGTCTAGATTTCCCTCTGAGAAGTACAGACTGTGAGGCTATTTTTGCTGTTTTAGCTGAGAGCAGGGTGTCCCAAAGCAAACATCATATGCACAGCAATGGCCAGTTCCCAGCAGGCAAATGTCTTCAGCTTTAAGTTGTTAAAAAAGAAAAGGAGAAGATTCTCGTCTTTGGCAGTGAACATTCTTAACTCTCCCCTGTTCACACAAATGTCCCTTATGATATACTCTCCATTTGCAGCAGAGAGTAGTGAGAACTTGGGAGCACTGGTAGCCTCCACTCAACCTTCTTTCACTTCCTTCAACTCCTGCCCTTTCTTTTATGATATATAATAGCCACGTCTATACATGTAGCACTATGTAGATGTGTATATATAGCACTGAAACCCTGTGAGATAGGGGTGATTATTAACCTCATTTTACAGATGAAAGAAGCTAAGGTTGGCTAGATTAAATGATTTATTCAGGGTCAGATATCTACAGCATGTCTCAAGTAGGAATTAAATTCAGGTTTTCTTGACTCCAGGTCCAGAGCTCTGCCCACTATGCCACCTAGCATCCACAGAGTGGGATTGGGTAGGGGAGTTGGTGTTGAGCCAATCCAAGAGGCATTTTAGTGGGTTTTTTTGTTTTGTTTTTTTTGTTGTTTTTAATTTTCCTGGGTTGTGAAAAAGTCACAACTGGAGATCTTGATGCCATGACATCATGCTGAGGGTTATTTATTCAGTGACTGGCTCTGTCCTCCTTTCTTGCAGTGAGCTGGCCAATGCAACAGAGGAGTCACCCCCTTCAGTTGTGGGAGGTCCAGAGGATGGTCAGAACAATGAAGGTGCCCAAGTAGGAGCAAGCCATCGATGGATGAGGTGAGTTACCAGATGATTAGTGAATCGATGTCTATGATCCTATGAGCTTTGCTTGCAGGGTCCTACCAAGCAATTAACAGGAGGCAGAATAATACAGTGGGAATGGATTCCCAAGGCCTGGGATTAAACCTTCTCTCTTCCACTTGCTATCTGTGTGACCTTGGACAAGTCACCTAACCTCTGTGGGCCTGACTCAAAGACCTTATAGCTCACTTCCAGCCCTAAATCTGATCCTATGTTGCTAAGTTCCAGTACTTTGCATCTTTAACAAAAACCTGGAGGCAAGAAGGAGCATGGGGGGAGGGGAAGGCATTGCATGATTGATACTGTAATTCAGTGCTGCATCTGTATTTCAGATTGTCAAGGTCGAGGAAGAAAAATCTGCCATGGGAACTCCAGGAGTCAACATGGTGAATAGTCATTTGTCTAATGATACATGAGGTGGCATTGAGGGGAGAGTGCTGAACTCCGAGGCAGGTTCAAATCCAGCTCCAGATACTTACTGGCTGGGTGACCCTGGAAAGTAATTTAATTCCCTATGCCTCATTTCCCTCATCTGTAAAACGAGAGAGTTGGAAGCAATGATCTCTTAGGTCCCTGCCAGCTCTAAATCCATGATGCGGTGAATATTCTTCTTCTTAAAAACCTTTTCTTAAAAAAGAAACCTGTACCTAAATACTATAGAAAGTGGTTATTTGCATATACATAATATGGCAGAAAAGGAAGATTGTACACGACATGGTAGATCTCTATCATGTCCCGTATGCTTTTCTTTTAAAATACATAATAAATTTAGCATTAACTTCCTATCAACTCTGGGAAATTTTTCTAGAGTGGGAAATGTTGTTTTTTGTTTGTTTGAAAGTTGTTTGAGAAGTTGGGACCACTCAAGTGGAATTCAAGATAGGGATTTCCCAGGGTGTCACCTTCCCCCTTACGTCTTATGTTTTGTCTTTTGCCAGCATGGCTGCTTGGGCCCCCTTGGATTTATACTCCTTGGTGGTTGAATGCCACCTAGTGCCCAGGCAGCAAATCTTCTGGAAGGTGCTACTGATCTTGCCAGGCTATGATACCTGTTTTGCCTACAGCCCAATGAGGTGAGTTGGACTTGATCTCAGCTCTTGGGGCCATTCAGGATTGATCTGTGCCCTGGAGTGTAAATGGTCTGCGTTGTGATGGCTTCAGTACTGTTTGCAGTTCCCCATATAGGGAACCCCCAGTTGAAGCCCTGGGGACAAGGGTCTGGTCTACCCTAACTTCATGTATGTGCATTGTTAGAGGAAGTGGGGTACAATAGAAACCATGCCAGACTTGGAAACACAAGTTATAGAATGGAAGCTCCTTGAGGGCAGGCCCTGTTTGATGTATTTGTATCCTCAGTGCCCAGTATAGCCCTCTGGACCTGCAGTAGTAGGCCCTTAATCAATGCTTGTTGACTGAAAGGCTCAGGTTCTAATCCTGCCTCTGACACCTCCTAGTAGTATGACTTGGACAAATTACTTTGCTTTACTGAAATAGCCCTCAGTTGTTTCACCTGTAAAATGAACATAACAATGCTTGGCCTGAGCCCAGGGCTGCTATAAGGACGGTCTTGGCGGGTATTCAACCAGAGGTTGTTACTTGCATTTTACAAATGTGGTCAGTGCTTCAATTAACATAGCACTGTGCTTCCTGTTTGGGTTTACATTGTACCCAAAGCCTTTTCCATAGACTCATAGAATTGTAAGGGCTTCAAGAGACCAGAGACTAATTCAACACTTACATTTTACAAATATATAAACTGAGGCCAAGGGAGGTTCATAGACTTTTGGAAGGGATCTTACAGGCCATCAAATCTAAACTTCTCTTTTTACAGTTGGGTAAACTGATGACCAGGGAAGTTAAGTGAATTAATTATGGCCATACCAGAGGCAAATCTCAATAAAGATTTGCATTCAGCCCTCTAACTCCAAATTCGGTGCTCTTTCTCCTATATCACACTGATGAAAGAAAGGTTTCAAGTCTTGATTTCACCTCTCCAACTTTCCATATCTAAAGTTTCCAGTCCAATATTTCTAGGAACTTACCTTTGTGATTCTAAGGACAGAATTCTAAAAGTTGACCAAAGATCTTTGCCAATAAACCAATGCCTCCTGGTATTTTTTTTTTCCATGGAGTGTTAATGGATTGGTTAAGAACCAAATTCATGGGAGCCAAAGCCCCACCACAGAACGGAACAAGCTGGCCTAATGACAGAGTGGAGACCTTATGCACCCTGAAATCCCAAAGACAAAAATGGAGTCTGGCTGTGGATATTAACATCTGCGTCAAGGTAGGTAAGTTACCCCCACCCTCTTTCTGGGGGCCAAAGGGCAGTGAAAACACAACCCAGGGAACAGATGATCCAGGAAACAGTGTGGAATGAGGGGAAGGTCACAAAGGCTAGAGCCAGAAGACTTGGACTTTACACATAGCAATTCTACTCGGAACTGGGAAGGACCTTCAGGGTTCACTAGTCCAATCTCTTTATTTGAGAGGAAACTGAGACCCAAAGTGACCTGCCTCAGTTTACCCAGGAAGGAAGGGTTGGAGTAATTTAAACTAGGTCATCTGACTCTGTGTCCAGTGCTCATTCCCTTGCAACACACTGCCTCCAAGTTAGCACATGACTTTGGAAGGGCTGTGTCTAAAGTCTCAGGCCCTGGGTTAAAAGGCCAGCCCTGCCATCTGCTCCTGAATGACTTTGGGAAAACCAGACAGCCTTAGTTTCATCATGTGCAAACTGAGGGGGTTATCTGAGATGGTTTCTTAAAGTACCTTCCAATTCTAAATCAACCAGCCTGTCATCCCTGTTTGTTCCTCAGTCTACCCAATTTAAAAGTAAGTGCTTCAGACCTTTTCATCTCTAAAGCCTCTTTAAGTTTCAACGTTCTGTGTGCCTGAGACTCTCAAGGATATTGGCCAGTGACTATGACCTTCACCCATTTTTTGACTTGGCCAGTTTCATCAGTCCCTGAGCTCTTTTTCTACTGCTCTTACAGCTACATATTCTTCTCTGGTATCTTAAGATGGCTCAAGAGAAGGAGCATTAATGAAGGGAAAGGATCAGGAGACCAAAAAATTTGGCATTGATTTTTATATCCTTCCATGTAAATCATGCTACCACTAAAATGAGTTGTTGGCCAGAAAAGGTCGTTGTTCCATGGCCAACTGGGGAGCTATTGCTTCCAAACTGAGGTAGCCTGGTCCTCAGACAATGTGCTGTCTCTCACAGGGCCTGGGCACAAAGCCTGTCAAGCTTGTTGTGGGACATGCCGGGGCTTATGCTCCACTAGCAAGACCTTCTTGAAGCCAGGATCCTCTTCATGGCCTGATAATAGTGGAGAAGGATAGGACATAGGCAGTGGAGCTCTGATTTAATTTCTGTAGATAACTCCCAGGTGAGGAAACTCCCTCTGCCAATGCAGGTAGGCACGTTCTCTGCCATTTTAGAGATCTGCCTCAGGCACTGAGTGGTACAGACTTGACACACATCAGAAACAGGACTTCAATGTTAATCTTCCTGACCTCGAGGCCAACTCCGTAGACACTGGCTCTCACATTAATGGAAGGAGACCAAAAGATCTTGGGGAAAATGCCAAAGCAGTCTTTGATTTTGTTAGTGCCGTCCAGTGGTGGGGCCCAGAGAATAAAGGGGCCCCAAGAGATCAAGTTTCATAAAACTGGGAGGCAGAGAGAGACAGAAACAAAGAGAGACAGAGACAAAGAGACAGAGAGACACACAGAGAAAGACACAGAAAGAGACCCAGAGACATATAAAGACAGAGAGAGAGTTCTTTGAAGTCCCTAAAATGGCTATGATTTTTTAAATTGTCATTAGGACTTAACATTATAAAGCCAATTCAAGTATACGTGTGTGGTGTGTGTGTGTGTGTGTGTGTGTGTGTATGCTGGCATTCTTTTTGGTAAATAGTTTCTATAAATGTTAATATATATGCACATGCATGCATGCAATGTATACATGTGTGTTTCTATATACATGTATGTGCACATGTACATGCATACATGTAAACTATTTGTCACGAAGATTATGTACTTTAGTGTACCAGTAACAGCTTCCCAATATCCTCCTTTGTGACGTCTTATCACCTGGTCCTCCCTTCCCAGCATGGGCAGATACCCTCCTATATCACTTGGAGCCTTTAAGCTTAGGGTAATGGACAAGACCAGTGATGGGCTGGACTGGATGTCTACTGTGTGACCTGGCCAACGCAATGGTGTGGCAGTGATCCTGGGCTCTCTGTGTTGCTGCCAGTGGGTGCAGGCTCTGATATACTCTACCTAGCTGGAGAAGCTTCGTATGGGGACCCAGTGATGGCCTGTGCATGTCTCTTCTGAGAACCTGCCTAGCTCGGTTTGGAACTTACCACCAGGTTATCTGTAGGCAGACAGGCTCATAGTAAGCACCTGGTAAGTGTTTGATTATTAATTGGGTGAGTGAGGGATCGTGTTTTCCACTGGTAAAAGGGTTGCCCACACCAACCCCACTGTGGCTTGTTGATGTCCTGAGGCAGTCTCGCAACCCTTATAATAGACCTAAACTTCCCTCCCATTCATTGCTCCTGCCCAGGCTTTGCATGGAGTCTGTACCAAGGAACAGCTTCAGAAGGCTCAGACCCAGGACAGTCTCTTCGCCCTCAATGGCCTCATCTTCCTCTTACCAACAAGGAGAAGAAGAGTTTGCCAAAACAGTTACTGGCATTTGGCCCGCCTGCAATTGTCCCACCTGCTGAAGGCAAAGCCATCCCAGCCATTGGTGCCCCTGGTGATCCTTGTCCCTGCTGACAGTGAGACCCTTGGAGAGGAAGAAGCCAAGGCAGGTGTGTCACTTGAGTAACCTTGGGTAAATTCCTATAAGCTGGTGCTGAATGTGACCCATGTGGCTAGGTAGATGAAACATAAGCTTGCCCTGCCATTTCCTTTATTCTTTCCTTGCCCTTCCCCACCTTTGCCCTTCCCTTCCTTGCCATTTTCTCCCTCCCCATTCTGCTTTTCCCTTCTTTTTCATTCCTTCCCTTCCCTCCCTTTAATGGAAGCCAGATGTAATGGCTAGAGAGGGACTGTGGTACAATGGACAGTTCTGGGTTTGGAAAAAGGAACACTTTGGTTCAATTTCCTCCTCTGACACATACTGGCTCCATGATCCTGGTTAATTGGCTTACCCTTTCAGTGTCTCCAGGCCTCTCTCTAAGACAATAAGTTATAGCTGACTTGTCAATGTGCACAGGTGGAGGTAATAGCCACACTTTGATTTCCCTACACCAATGATGTCTGAGATTCAGCTGAAAAGAAAACAAAAGAGAAATGAGGTTTAGAGGGAGGCAGCATAGTCTGGTATAGGGGATAGATAGATAGCACTAGTCTGGGAGCCAGGGAGCTTTGAACTGCAGTCTTGCCTCTGCCACTCGCCCACTATGGGAGCTCTGGGCACTGACCTCCTCCAAGCCTCAGGCTGCTCTCTAGAACTGTAGATTATTTATGAAGGAGTGGGCTGGTTGAGGTCATCAGTCTTAGGTGGAAGGAGATCCCCCAGCAATGCCATCATGAATCCTTGAGGTGTTGCCATCATACACTTTGGTAAACCTGAAAGGAGGCTCGGAATGGGCATCTGAGTGGAGCCGAATGGGCACTAACACTTCCTGGCATCTGTTTCTCTTGAAGGTCTCAGGCTGAGAGACTCTATTACCAGCCATCTCATTTCCTACTTCACCATCCTCAGGATCCCATGCTACATTCAAGACTTAGAAGGGTCCAACCAGGTAAAGTTAGAAGACCTGAGTCTATGTTCCATGGCCACTTGGGTTGTGAGACCCTCCTATGAACGGGAACTAAAAAACAAACAAAGAAAAGAAGAATACCTGATGATGAAACCTTTGTCTCAGAGACACCTGCAAGTCATGAGGGGCCTGGGGCCCCTTTTCATCTTTTTTTTTTTATCTCATAACCCCAACACAAGTGACTTGGGATGAGCCAGTCTATGGAGGTGGAAGCCTCACTTGCAAGCAAGAGAGGATCTGGAATGACAGGGAAGACATGATAGTTTTCCAGTGTTTGAAAGACTGTTATGTGGAACAGGGATTAAATTCTGCACAGTCTCAGATTGTAGAACTAGGAGTTATGGAGGATGGTTGCAGAATGTGAATGTTGGTTTAATTACATCATTATCAACAACATTTATATGACATGCCCTTTGTGCCAGCACTGTGCTAAGTGCCTTGTAATGATGATTTCATTTGATCCTCACAACAACCCTGAAGAGTAGGTGCTATAATATTATCCCCATTTTACAGATGAGGAAACTAAAGTAAACAGAGGTTAAGTGACTTGCCTAGGGTCACACAGCTAGTTAGTGTCTGAGGCCAAATTTGAACTCAGGTCTTCCTGACTCCAGACCCAATGTTCTGGACACTGCCCCACCTAGCTGCCTGCATGTCAGGAAGAAAACTTGCTGAAATGACAGCTATTCTGCAGTAAAATGGATGGCCTTCAGAGGCAGTGGGTCCTCCTTGACAAAGGCTCGTTGACTGATGTTGAGTGACGGAGGGTGATTCTTGCTCAGGTACAGACTGGACAAAGGGGCTTCTGAGCCTCCTTCTATGCCTGTCTCAAAGCTAACTGGATTTTTCTACCCTTGCTGGGTGCTTGCCTCTCTAGGTACAGAAGGCAGTGAGATGGCTGGTCTGCTAGTCACCTCTAGCTGCTGAGCTCTGCTGTGAAACCTTCACTCATTTCGTGGAGAAGGGCATCAACTGTGAATCTGGAGAGCGGCTTTCCAGGGACCAGAAGGACAGGCAGCTAGCTGGCTTGCCCTCCCAGGAACCAGCGGTGATCTTGGAATTGTACAACAGTGTGATTCAATTCCTTGCAGGGGTCATGTCCGCCCAACAGCTCCGTGGCCCAGCGGGGCTGGCCCCGGAGTTTTTCCAGCTAACTAACCAAAGATGCCTTCAACCCAAGGGGGGCATGCCAGAGTACCCGGAGTGGCTCAGGAGCATCACTCTGACCCTTCAGCTCCCCCCAGTTGTCTTGCCCCAGAAGACCAGTAAGTGGTTCCTGTGTTTCTAGCATATTTATAATTAGAACCAAAATCTAAAAGACTGTCAAGTTGGGGAGAGAGGGAGTGGCTGCTAATGGATAGTTGTTTTTTCTGCCCTTTCTTTTTAATGGGCTTGCCCACATTTCTTAGTAGTCACTGGTGAGCTATTAGATTGTCGTGAGTCGAAAATAGCAGAAGCCGGTGATAATGAGTCTGCAGCAACACAGAGAAATACCTAGTATGATATAACCAGATGCTGGCCCCAGGGGGCTGAATTTAGAGGGTGCTGACTCCATGTTTAGTGCTTTGATAGTTTACAAGAAAAAACAACCCAGACCTTATCAACTAACTAGATAGGATCATCAGTAAAAATTGGAAGCTGTTATGGAATCATAGGTCTAGAGTTTTAAGTGACCTCAGATGCCATGTGATCCAGCCCCTTCATTCTATAGTTTGGAAACCCAAGGCCTGGAATGATGAATAACTTGCCTGGGTAGTGAGTGGCAGAGCCAAGAGGTTCTCTGACCATATTTCCTGAGCTCTTGTCATTATCCCATGTTATCTCCCTCCCACGGCTGAGAAGAGTTCCTCCCATTTCCAACCCTCCCCTGCTCTCTCCCTCTCCATGCTGCAGCATTCCCAGCCTTGGCCTCATGCTGATGTCCCTGGGTCTCTGCCTTCCCCAGGGAGTGGAGTATCCCCCTATCCCCAGCCTGATGGAAGGCATCCTTTGGCCAGCTAGTCCAGAAAGAGAGTTAGCCCAGAAAACCAGTAGGAACTTGGTGATTTACTGGAAAGTCCTTTGCCCACCAATTACAATTCCCTGTTTTTTTAAGCTCAGGAAAAGATAATTAAATTTGCACAACAATATTTGATCCAATTTACCAACTTTCTATTCAACCACCACAGTTTTGAATCCTTTATAGTTCAGTTTCATCAAAAGCTGCAGCTCCATTAGACTTAGGACTCTAAAGAATGACCTTCCAGAGCCCGAGTCTAGGATCTATTGTGATAAAAATCTTATTTCTGGTTATTACTTTCAAAGACCAGAATTGAGGGCTAGTTAGAACTAGAAGATATCTTATGGGGAAAGACATCTGTGGTCTTCGAGGGACTGAAAAATTGGAGGAGTCAGTAATGTGACATGTTGGTCAAAAACCCAATGGAATCTTTAGTTGCCTTTAGAATCACACAATCAAGGAGTTGAGGAATTTTTAGAGTGGAAAGAGATGTCAGAAACCATCTTTTGTGGCATTAGCAGTTAGCCAGTGTTGTAAGGTTTGCAGAGCACTTTGTGAACAGTATCCCATTTTATCCCCACAACAACTCCGGAAGCTGGTGCAATTATTAACCCCTTCCTAAATATAGGAAACTGAGGCAGGCAGTTAATAGTTAAGTGAATTGCCCAGGGTCACACAGTTAAAAATATCTGAGTCAAGAATTGAACTCAGGTCTCCCTGACTCCAAGGCCACTGTTAACTGAATGAATCCATCACAAAGCAAGTCATTAAGCATCTATTAAAGGACTTTGGGTGCCAAACCTAGGGTTACAAAAACAAAGGTGAAGTAATCCGTGCCCTCACGGTGCTTACATTCTTCTCTGCTCCTTAGAAAACTCAGAACCACATTCCATTCTGTTCCACTCCACCCTACACAGTCCGGCTCCTACCCTCTCTCCTGGGGATGGCCTCCTTCCCAGCTGATGGGGACCTCGCCCCAGACCTGGAGCTGCCCTTGGCCAAGCCCTCTTTGCATTGCAGGTTGGCAGTGTGCAAGCTCCTCTGTCCTCAAGTACATCCATCACCTGCTTGGATCTCATCCCAGCTATCCCCTGCTCCACTGCCAGGTGGGGTATTTGCTGAGCCAAGCCTACTGCCACTGGTGGACCAGGGACTTTGGAGAGCAGGAGGAACCTTCTGGAGCGGAGGTGCCCTGGGATGTCATCATCTGTCTCTGTGTCCAGCAATTACTACAGACCTGGAGCCCTCCCAGGCAGCCAGGAATGCCAGCTGCAGACCCATGAAGCTCCCCCCCCCCCATTTCTGAAGACAGGAAGCTAAGAGGTGAAATAAAGCTTTGGCTTGTGTGGTAGTCAATTGTCGACTGACTGACTGACTGGCTACTCCAGATGGATGAGCCTGGGAATGCTTGTGAGAAGCTCTAGGATCCCACCTCCTCTGCCTCGGCTCAAAAACTGGTTTTTGTGTGTGGCTTGGCACTAATCAGGCATCTTCCGCCTCCTCCTTCTGTCTTCTGTTCCCTTTATTCATTGGGATCATGTGTCTTCAATTTTCTGCTTCCCTTGGGTGCAGTAGGAACTGCTGAGATCATGGTGGAACCTCAGAGGGACAGTTCAAATGTCCTTTCACTTAAACATTCAAGCTAAACTTTCTTCCCCCCCTTTTTTTTTCCTGTACTGGCCCTAAGGGCTGCTCAGATGTGTGACTCAACTGAGTCTTTTCAGCCCCAGAGGAAGTGGGCCACTTTCGACGCTGATGAGACCCCCCCCTTGTTCCCAGACTGAGTCTCTGGGCCGTTTGATGTTACCAGAGCACACTTGGGTGCATGTCAGAAAGAGAGTCTGGGACAGCGTCCATCCCTGTTGAGCTATTCCCACCAGGCCTGGATTCTCACAAATGCTGTCTCTGTTGTTTGTTTCAGAAGCTGTGGAACATCAGGGGAGAGAGATCCAGGTCTGCTATTTCAAAGACAGTCTGAGGGAGTATTGCCTCCCAGACTCCTGGGAAAATACTAGGCGGAAGCCCAGGAGAGAGACGGTGCAGCACGAGAAAGAACAGGCTTTGTAAGACTCTCAATGGAATGATGCAATGAAGTGTGCCTTCCTCATCACCAACATTTAGGGTGAGAGAATCCTAAAATAAACTTTATTTTAAACCACTAGTAAGAGCTGGAGAATCCTTCTGGGCCAAGCGCAAATGCAAATGCAGCACACTGAGAAGGAACCCTGGTGCAGAGGGAAACACTGGAGCTGGAGGGAGAGGACCTGGGTTTGAAAGCCAGTGCTACTGTCTACTTCCTCTGGGACGCTGGGCAAATCATTCGCCCCTTTCAGGCCTCAGTTTTCCCATATATAGGTCAGCTTGATTGCTCAGTGGAAAAAGAGCTGGGCCTGGAATAAGGAAGATTCCTTGTCATGAGTTCAAATACAATCTCAGACACTTATGAGCTGTGTGACCCTGGGCAAGTCATTTAACTCTGTTTGCCTAAGTTTCCTTATCTGTAAAATGAGCTGAGGAAGAAAATGGCAAACCACTCCAGCTTCTCTGCCAAGAAAACTCCAAATGGGGTCACAAAGAGATGAAAAGACTGAAATTGGACTAGAGAATCATTAACATTCCCCCTACTTTTCTGTGAGCCTATGATCCCTAGGAATCAGTTTATTCAACTTGTTTATTTGAAATTTCCAAACAGATTAGACTACTGTTTTTAATAATTACAGTCATAGAAGCTGAGTAGCTTCCTATTCTCTGGGAGATGGAACAGTCAACCTAAGACCCTGATAAGGGTTGCTACAAGGGGATGTTTCCCTGCTAGATAAGGCTTAGTTAACCCAACAGGTGTGGAATGCCTTTACTCTATATTCTTTTCCTCTCAGTGTTGAGCTACATCTTCTCAGAGTTGGGCCCAATGATTCCTCTTACCTGGGGTAGCAGGTAAGTCTTCTCTGAGGCCACCACAGTGCAACAATGGAGGTGCTAGGCTGTGTTCTAAAGACCTTGTTGAATCATTGTTCAGTTTTGTCTAACTCTTCATGACCCCATTTGGGCCTTTCTTGGCAGAGATACTGGAGTGCTTTGCCATTTCCTTCTCCAGCTTATTTTACAGGTGAGGAAACTGAGGCAAACAGGGTGAAGTGACTTGCCCAGGGTCACACAGAGAATAAGTATCTGAGGCAGGTTTGAACTGGTGAAATTAAGTCTTCCTGACTCTAGGCCCAGTGCTCTGTGCACTATAGCGCCCCCTAGCTTCCCTCTATTGACCTCAGTCAGAGTAAATGTGGCTGTGCCTACAGTTGTCATTCAGAGATTCTTGAAGAGCCTCAGTATAGAGTCCTTGATCTAGAGTAGAAAGACTTCAGAGGTCCTCTAGTGAAATCCCAACAACTTACAAAGGAGGAAACTGAGATCTCCCCCGCCTCCCCCCCTCCCCAAGGTCACAAAGCTGGTAAGTGGCAGAGGTGAGATTTGAATTCAAAGACCGGGGAACTCAGACAATAATGTAAAGTACAGACAGGGAGGGAGAGTGCTTTCTCTCCAGTTCTCTAAGCTTTGCGCTCACAAAACAGAACGAGGAGAGAGCAGCATGGTGCAGCAGGGAAAACAAAGAACAGCTGAAACCACTGGACTCGGAGTGAGAGTAGGGAGATTACAAGTCCACCTTTGCTGCTTCCTTTCTGAGTAATCGCACTCAAGTCACTCTCTGAGCCTGTAAAATGAAAGGGTTTGGACTGGTCAGTCTCTGAGTTCCTTTCCAGCTCTTCATCAATAACCCCAGGTTCCTCCAAGTTCTGTAGCCAATTCACATTTATGGGCACTTAATAAATGCTTCTTGATCGACTATTGATGGATTTCTTCCCATCAAGGAGATTAAAATATTCTCAAGGGTGGAGCGATGTGCATACAGATAGATGAATACAAAATAGATACACAGTGAATACAAAGTAACAGTTGAGGCATCCGGAAAGGCTTCCTATAGGAAGTGGCACTCTGACTAAACCTTGAAAGGGATTTTGAAAGGCATCAGTGAGGAGCAGGAGAATTCTTAAGGGTTAGGAAACAGTCTGTGTAAAAGCACATGTACATGGCCTCAGAGTAGAATGCTTTTTTTTAAATCTTTTTTTTCCTCCCTTTATATTCAATTCAATAGCAAATGCCAGGGAAACATGCCTAGGAAGTTGTCCTTGGAATATGGAAGCTTGATCATGATTCCTCACACCCTTTAGTACTTCATTATTTCAGTGGACTCACAGTGTCTTTAATGTGCTCACTCTTAGCCTAGGTCATTCTTCTCCCTGTCCTTCCATAAACTTTTCACAGTAGATCCAGCTAATTCATTGGAAGCCTCTGTCCAGGTCTTTTACCATCTCGATGGCACAAGCACAGAACAGCCCATCTATGGATTGGGTTGGCCCTGATATGGTCCCCTCCTCTGGTTCATGCAACCATTGGTGAAGGATAATAGTTCAGATTTATAGCTCTGAGCCTCCACTCATGCATCTTCTAATCCCAGACCAGGCCAGACAACACATGGATACAAAGGGAAAGGCTCTTAATGAAACAGAATATGAGGAGTTTTTAACATGGAACTGAACGAGGTCTGAAGCATGACACTTATTCTCCATTGGATTCAACTCACCTTTAGCCTCCTAAACAGGGCACTAGAGGCACTCAGCAGCTCATTCATGGAGGGTGCTTGGGGAGATTGCCATGGCCTCTTGGTGATCATGGGCTTCTCGGCAGCTCAGTGAGAGAGCATTCTGAAGTCCTCTGCTGCCTTCTCTTAATGTGATGGTAGTGGCAATCTAGGGAATGTCATGAGCTGGGTACACTGACCTCTCCCAGCCCTGTGGTCGTCTCCACTGGCTGTACTAGCCCCATTGTTATCTGGATGCGGCTGCCATGTTTTCTCACCACTCTCAACTCTACATGCCACCCCTGCAGCATTGTATCTCATGAAATTCCCCAGCCTTTAGAATTTCACGAACAGGAAATGCGCCTAGTCAATCAGAATGCATACTAGGTGATGTTGCCAGGCTATGGAAGCCATACTTTGGGAAATGGAATTCAGTGAATTTCTCTCAATGAGGGTCTCTCCCCTCTCCCCTTTCCTTCCTCCCTTCTCACTTTCTCCCTCCCCTTTCCCATTCCTCTTCTCCCTAGTTCCCTTCTTCTTCTTCCCTTATCTCTTCCTCTTCTCCCCTTTCTTCCTTCCCTTCTCTCTTCTTCCCCCTCCCTTTCCTTCTCTCTCCATTTCCTTATTCTTCTTCCCCCTCTCTTCCCCTCTCCCTTTTCCTCCCTCTCCTCTCTCTTCCTCCTCTCCCTTTTCCCCTCCTCTCTCTATTTCCCTTCATATCCTCCTATTTCTCCCTCCTTTTCCCTTTTTCTTCCTTCTATCTCTCCTTTCTCCCTTTCTTTCTCCCTTCCCCCTTTGCTCCTCTCCCTCTCCCTCTCTCCTACCAACGCTTGTTTTCTCCTGTCAAGGTTTTTGAGGTCCCAAGGAAAGTGATGATTGCCTTTTTCTCCTTGAATTTCTCTTTAGTGAACATTAGACTGAAAGCAACAGGATAGAGTGGAGCGAGAACTGACCTCAGAGCCAGAAAGACCCCAGTTCTGGTGCTGGCTGGACCACATCCGGCTGCGTGGAGCTCTGAGGCAAGCTGCTCAGCCTCTCAGCTCCCAGGTGAATCTCTAAGGCTCCCAGTTACAGAGGCGAGGTTGATCTGCTTTAGTAAAGGGGGTGTTTGTGCTCCCCCCAGTGAAGAAATCACAGGCCTGGAAGTCTCCCCACTCCGAAAAATGCCCAGAATTAACGGAGGCCAATGTCCCTGGATCAAAGAGTACATGGAGGAGGGGGGCAAAGACAGTGGGGTGAGGGAGCAGGTTGATCATAGGGGTGAGAGAGTCACTCTGTATCTTTGGATATTACTGCCCCACTCCGGGTCTCAGTTTCCCCATGTCTCAAATGAGGAGCTTGGGCTTCATGGCTTCTGACGTCTTTCCTCGCTCTCCCTTTGTGACCGTCTGGACCCATTCTCTAGGTGGGTCGGGCACCATCTTCCACCAGGAGGAGATCAAACCTCATCTTGCCTCTGCGCCACCTCCCCGTGGCCACTTGGTGTCGCTGCAGGAAGGATCTGTCCAGGCGCTGCCTATGGAGAGAGGGGGAGGACCACGCCAGTGTGTTTACAGGACGCAGAGGGAGGGCTGCTGCTGCAGCAGCCAGGATCATGCGGAGGCTGCTTCCTTTTCTTCTTTGCCGCACGTGGCTGCTCGGGGCGCATGCCAGTCCCCGGCCGGAAAGCGCAGGCAGGGCAGTCAGGGCCCCTCAGAGGAGCTCCCAGGAGGACCTTCCCGGCACTGCGAGCCCCTTGCCGACGATGCTCCGAGGATGCAGGACTCGGAGCTGGAGGGGACCTCCGGAATGGACCGTTTAGCCAACCCCCTCATTTTCACTGATTTTTTTTTTCAGGTGGACATAAAATACTTTTAGATGCATGTTATATTTGTTTCCGTCTGCGCATTACGCCATCATTGCCCTCTCAGTCACCTCTCTAAGGCTGCACATTGTTGGCCCTGGTTTGTAGACTATCACGCGAGGTCCCAGAGCCCACGGACTAGAGATGGGCTGAAAAACACTCTGCTCCGTGGACCGGCTGCAGGGGCAGATGGTGAATGGCGCCAGTGGTGGCCAAGGGGATGCAGAGCGGCTGGAGGCAGCGGAGACACTCACGCATAAGCTCGTGGTCGCAAGGAGAATGCATTTGTCACTCTCCATCTGTGACTGCACCGTTGGCATCTCATTTCTGCTCTGAATCATGAGACTGACCGGGAAGAGCCCGGGAGGGCAGGCAGTGACGCATCGCAGGGATCAGAGACGAGGCCTCGAGGGCCAGAAGGCAGCCCCAGGAAAACCCAGTGTCCTTGCGGAAGAAGGGCAAGGCTGAGGTTCTCAAATAAAATTCAAAAGTTCAACCCTGTCGTTTTACAGATGAGGAAACTGAGATACAGAGCCGTGAAGTGACGTAAGCGAGGCTACACAGGTGGGCTCACCGGCCCAGAAGGGACCTTCCTGGTCCAGACCCCTCCCACTAGAGGAAAGGAAACTGGGCTCTGGGGGGGTGAGCCTCGAGGTGAGCCCCAAGGTCACCGG